CTGTGCAGCAGACAAGCGCCAGAGCCAACAACATGGATTGTCTGCTCTGCTCTGTGCAGCAGACAAGCGCCAGAGCCAACAACATGGATTGTCTGCTCTGCTCTGTGCAGCAGACAAGCGCCAGAGCCAACAACATGGATTGTCTGCTCTGCTCTGTGCAGCAGACAAGCGCCAGAGCCAACAACATGGATTGTCTGCTCTGCTCTGTGCAGCAGACAAGCGCCAGAGCCAACAACATGGATTGCCTGCTCTGCTCTGTGCAGCAGACAAGGGCCAGAGCCAACAACATGGATTGTCTGCTCTGCTCTGTGCAGCAGACAAGCGCCAGAGCCAACAACATGGATTGTCTGCTCTGCTCTGTGCAGCAGACAAGCGCAAGAGCCAACAACATGGATTATCTGCTCTGCTCTGTACAGCTGACAAGCGTCAGAGCCAACAACATGGAGTGTCTGCTCTGCTCTGTGCAGCTGACAAGCGCCAGAGCCAACAACATGGATTGTCTGCTCTGCTCTGTGCAGCAGACAAGCGCCAGAGCCAACAACATGGATTGTCTGCTCTGCTCTGTGCAGCAGACAAGCGCCAGAGCCAACAACATGGATTGTCTGCTCTGCTCTGTGCAGCAGACAAGCGCCAGAGCCAACAACATGGATTGTCTGCTCTGCTCTGTGCAGCTGACAAGCGCCAGAGCCAACAACATGGATTGTCTGCTCTGCTCTGTGCAGCAGACAAGCGCCAGAGCCAACAACATGGATTGTCTGCTCTGCTCTGTGCAGCAGACAAGCGCCAGAGCCAACAACATGGATTGTCTGCTCTGCTCTGTGCAGCAGACAAGCGCCAGAGCCAACAACATGGATTGTCTGCTCTGCTCTGTGCAGCTGACAAGCGCCAGAGCCAACAACATGGATTGTCTGCTCTGCTCTGTGCAGCAGACAAGCGCCAGAGCCAACAACATGGATTGTGTGCTCTTCTCTGTGCAGCAGACAAGCGCCAGAGCCAACAACATGGATTGTCTGCTCTGCTCTGTGCAGCAGACAAGCGCCAGAGCCAACAACATGGATTGTCTGCTCTGCTCTGTGCAGCAGACAAGCGCCAGAGCCAACAACATGGATTGTCTGCTCTGCTCTGTGCAGCAGACAAGCGCCAGAGCCAACGACATGGACTGTCTGCTCTGCTCTTTGCAGCTGACAAGCGCCAGAGCCAACGACATGGATTGTCTGCTCTGCTCTGTACAGCTGACAAGCGCCAGAGCCAACAGCATGGATTGTCTGCTCTGCTCTGTGCAGCAGACAAGCGCCAGAGCCAACAACATGGATTGTCTGCTCTGCTCTGTACATCAGACAAGCGCCAGAGCCAACAACATGGATTGTCTGCTCTGCTCTATACAGCAGACAAGCGCCAGAGCCAACAACATGGATTGTCTGCTCTGCTCTGTACAGCAGACAAGCGCCAGAGCCAACAACATGGATTGTCTGCTCTGCTCTGTGCAGCAGACAAGCGCCAGAGCCAACAACATGGATTGTCTGCTCTGCTCTGTGCAGCAGACAAGCGCCAGAGCCAACAACATGGATTGCCTGCTCTGCTCTGTGCAGCAGACAAGCGCCAGAGCCAACGACATGGATTGTCTGCTCTGCTCTGTACAGCAGACAAGCGCCAAAGCCAACAACATGGATTGTCTGCTCTGCTCTGTGCAGCAGACAAGCGCCAGAGCCAACAACATGGATTATCTGCTCTGCTCTGTACAGCTGACAAGCGCCAGAGCCAACAACATGGAGTGTCTGCTCTGCTCTGTGCAGCTGACAAGCGCCAGAGCCAACAACATGGATTGTCTGCTCTGCTCTGTGCAGCAGACAAGCGCCAGAGCCAACAACATGGATTGTCTGCTCTGCTCTGTGCAGCAGACAAGCGCCAGAGCCAACAGCATGGATTGCCTGCTCTGCTCTGTGCAGCTGACAAGCGCCAGAGCCAACAACATGGATTGTCTGCTCTGCTCTGTGCAGCAGACAAGCGCCAGAGCCAACAGCATGGATTGCCTGCTCTCCTCTGTACAGCTGACAAGCGCCAGAGCCAACAGCATGGATTGTCTGCTCTGCTCTGTGCAGCAGACAAGCGCCAGAGCCAACAACATGGATTGTCTGCTCTGCTCTGTACATCAGACAAGCGCCAGAGCCAACAACATGGATTGTCTGCTCTGCTCTCTACAGCAGACAAGCGCCAGAGCCAACAACATGGATTGTCTGCTCTGCTCTGTACAGCAGACAAGCGCCAGAGCCAACAACATGGATTGTCTGCTCTGCTCTGTGCAGCAGACAAGCGCCAGAGCCAACAACATGGATTGTCTGCTCTGCTCTGTGCAGCAGACAAGCGCCAGAGCCAACAACATGGATTGTCTGCTCTGCTCTGTGCAGCAGACAAGCGCCAGAGCCAACAACATGGATTGTCTGCTCTGCTCTGTGCAGCAGACAAGCGCCAGAGCCAACAACATGGATTATCTGCTCTGCTCTGTACAGCTGACAAGCGTCAGAGCCAACAACATGGAGTGTCTGCTCTGCTCTGTGCAGCTGACAAGCGCCAGAGCCAACAACATGGATTGTCTGCTCTGCTCTGTGCAGCAGACAAGCGCCAGAGCCAACAACATGGATTGTCTGCTCTGCTCTGTGCAGCAGACAAGCGCCAGAGCCAACAACATGGATTGTCTGCTCTGCTCTGTGCAGCAGACAAGCGCCAGAGCCAACAACATGGATTATCTGCTCTGCTCTGTAGAGCTGACAAGCGCCAGAGCCAACAACATGGATTGTCTGCTCTGCTCTGTGCAGCAGACAAGCGCCAGAGCCAACAACATGGATTGTCTGCTCTGCTCTGTGCAGCAGACAAGCGCCAGAGCCAACAACATGGATTGTCTGCTCTGCTCTGTGCAGCAGACAAGCGCCAGAGCCAACAACATGGATTGTCTGCTCTGCTCTGTGCAGCAGACAAGCGCCAGAGCCAACAACATGGATTGCCTGCTCTGCTCTGTGCAGCAGACAATGGCCAGAGCCAACAACATGGATTGTCTGCTCTGCTTTGTGCAGCAGACAAGCGCCAGAGCCAACAACATGGATTGTCTGCTCTGCTCTGTGCAGCAGACAAGCGCAAGAGCCAACAACATGGATTATCTGCTCTGCTCTGTACAGCTGACAAGCGTCAGAGCCAACAACATGGAGTGTCTGCTCTGCTCTGTGCAGCTGACAAGCGCCAGAGCCAACAACATGGATTGTCTGCTCTGCTCTGTGCAGCAGACAAGCGCCAGAGCCAACAACATGGATTGTCTGCTCTGCTCTGTGCAGCAGACAAGCGCCAGAGCCAACAACATGGATTGTCTGCTCTGCTCTGTGCAGCAGACAAGCGCCAGAGCCAACAACATGGATTGTCTGCTCTGCTCTGTGCAGCTGACAAGCGCCAGAGCCAACAACATGGATTGTCTGCTCTGCTCTGTGCAGCAGACAAGCGCCAGAGCCAACAACATGGATTGTCTGCTCTGCTCTGTGCAGCAGACAAGCGCCAGAGCCAACAACATGGATTGTCTGCTCTGCTCTGTGCAGCAGACAAGCGCCAGAGCCAACAACATGGATTGTCTGCTCTGCTCTGTGCAGCTGACAAGCGCCAGAGCCAACAACATGGATTGTCTGCTCTGCTCTGTGCAGCAGACAAGCGCCAGAGCCAACAACATGGATTGTCTGCTCTGCTCTGTGCAGCAGACAAGCGCCAGAGCCAACAACATGGATTGTCTGCTCTGCTCTGTGCAGCAGACAAGCGCCAGAGCCAACAACATGGATTGTCTGCTCTACTCTGTGCAGCAGACAAGCGCCAGAGCCAACAACATGGATTGTCTGCTCTGCTCTGTGCAGCAGACAAGCGCCAGAGCCAACAACATGGATTGTCTGCTCTGCTCTGTGCAGCAGACAAGCGCCAGAGCCAACGACATGGACTGTCTGCTCTGCTCTTTGCAGCTGACAAGCGCCAGAGCCAACGACATGGATTGTCTGCTCTGCTCTGTACAGCTGACAAGCGCCAGAGCCAACAGCATGGATTGTCTGCTCTGCTCTGTGCAGCAGACAAGCGCCAGAGCCAACAACATGGATTGTCTGCTCTGCTCTGTACATCAGACAAGCGCCAGAGCCAACGACATGGATTGTCTGCTCTGCTCTATACAGCAGACAAGCGCCAGAGCCAACAACATGGATTGTCTGCTCTGCTCTGTACAGCAGACAAGCGCCAGAGCCAACAACATGGATTGTCTGCTCTGCTCTGTGCAGCAGACAAGCGCCAGAGCCAACAACATGGATTGTCTGCTCTGCTCTGTGCAGCAGACAAGCGCCAGAGCCAACAACATGGATTGCCTGCTCTGCTCTGTGCAGCAGACAAGCGCCAGAGCCAACAACATGGATTGTCTGCTCTGCTCTGTACAGCAGACAAGCGCCAAAGCCAACAACATGGATTGTCTGCTCTGCTCTGTGCAGCAGACAAGCGCCAGAGCCAACAACATGGATTATCTGCTCTGCTCTGTACAGCTGACAAGCGCCAGAGCCAACAACATGGAGTGTCTGCTCTGCTCTGTGCAGCTGACAAGCACCAGAGCCAACAACATGGATTGTCTGCTCTGCTCTGTGCAGCAGACAAGCGCCAGAGCCAACAACATGGATTGTCTGCTCTGCTCTGTGCAGCAGACAAGCGCCAGAGCCAACAGCATGGATTGCCTGCTCTGCTCTGTGCAGCTGACAAGCGCCAGAGCCAACAACATGGATTGTCTGCTCTGCTCTGTGCAGCAGACAAGCGCCAAAGCCAACAGCATGGATTGCCTGCTCTCCTCTGTACAGCTGACAAGCGCCAGAGCCAACAGCATGGATTGTCTGCTCTGCTCTGTGCAGCAGACAAGCGCCAGAGCCAACAACATGGATTGTCTGCTCTGCTCTGTACATCAGACAAGCGCCAGAGCCAACAACATGGATTGTCTGCTCTGCTCTCTACAGCAGACAAGCGCCAGAGCCAACAACATGGATTGTCTGCTCTGCTCTGTACAGCAGACAAGTGCCAGAGCCAACAACATGGATTGTCTGCTCTGCTCTGTGCAGCAGACAAGCGCCAGAGCCAACAACATGGATTGTCTGCTCTGCTCTGTGCAGCAGACAAGCGCCAGAGCCAACAACATGGATTGTCTGCTCTGCTCTGTGCAGCAGACAAGCGCCAGAGCCAACAACATGGATTGTCTGCTCTGCTCTGTGCAGCAGACAAGCGCCAGAGCCAACAACATGGATTATCTGCTCTGCTCTGTACAGCTGACAAGCGTCAGAGCCAACAACATGGAGTGTCTGCTCTGCTCTGTGCAGCTGACAAGCGCCAGAGCCAACAACATGGATTGTCTGCTCTGCTCTGTGCAGCAGACAAGCGCCAGAGCCAACAACATGGATTGTCTGCTCTGCTCTGTGCAGCAGACAAGCGCCAGAGCCAACAACATGGATTGTCTGCTCTGCTCTGTGCAGCAGACAAGCGCCAGAGCCAACAACATGGATTATCTGCTCTGCTCTGTACAGCTGACAAGCGCCAGAGCCAACAACATGGAGTGTCTGCTCTGCTCTGTGCAGCAGACAAGCGCCAGAGCCAACGACATGGATTGTCTGCTCTGCTCTGTGCAGCAGACAAGCGCCAGAGCCAACGAGATGGATTGTCTGCTCTGCTCTGTGCAGCAGACAAGCGCCAGAGCCAACAACATGGATTGTCTGCTCTGCTCTGTGCAGCAGACAAGCGCCAGAGCCAACAACATGGATTGTCTGCTCTGCTCTGTGCAGCAGACAAGCGCCAGAGCCAACAACATGGATTGTCTGCTCTGCTCTGTGCAGCAGACAAGCGCCAGAGCCAACAACATGGATTGCCTGCTCTGCTCTGTGCAGCAGACAAGGGCCAGAGCCAACAACATGGATTGTCTGCTCTGCTCTGTATAGCAGACAAGCGCCAGAGCCAACAACATGGATTGTCTGCTCTGCTCTGTGCAGCAGACAAGCGCAAGAGCCAACAACATGGATTATCTGCTCTGCTCTGTACAGCTGACAAGCGTCAGAGCCAACAACATGGAGTGTCTGCTCTGCTCTGTGCAGCTGACAAGCGCCAGAGCCAACAACATGGATTGTCTGCTCTGCTCTGTGCAGCAGACAAGCGCCAGAGCCAACAACATGGATTGTCTGCTCTGCTATGTGCAGCAGACAAGCGCCAGAACCAACAACATGGATTGTCTGCTCTGCTCTGTGCAGCAGACAAGCGCCAGAGCCAACAACATGGATTGTCTGCACTGCTCTGTGCAGCTGACAAGCGCCAGAGCCAACAACATGGATTGTCTGCTCTGCTCTATGCAGCAGACAAGCGCCAGAGCCAACAACATGGATTGTCTGCTCTGCTCTGTGCAGCAGACAAGCGCCAGAGCCAACAACATGGATTGTGTGCTCTGCTCTGTGCAGCAGACAAGCGCCAGAGCCAACAACATGGATTGTCTGCTCTGCTCTTTGCAGCAGGCAAGCGCCAGAGCCAACAACATGGATTGTCTGCTCTGCTCTGTGCAGCAGACAAGCGCCAGAGCCAACAACATGGATTGTCTGCTCTGCTCTGTGCAGCAGACAAGCGCCAGAGCCAACAACATGGATTGTCTGCTCTGCTCTGTGCAGCAGACAAGCGCCAGAGCCAACGACATGGATTGTCTGCTCTGCTCTTTGCAGCTGACAAGCGCCAGAGCCAATGACATGGATTGTCTGCTCTGCTCTGTACAGCTGACAAGCGCCAGAGCCAACAGCATGGATTGTCTGCTCTGCTCTGTGCAGCAGACAAGCGCCAGAGCCAACAACATGGATTGTCTGCTCTGCTCTGTACATCAGACAAGCGCCAGAGCCAACAACATGGATTATCTGCTCTGCTCTATACAGCAGACAAGCGCCAGAGCCAACAACATGGATTGTCTGCTCTGCTCTGTACAGCAGACAAGCGCCAGAGCCAACAACATGGATTGTCTGCTCTGCTCTGTGCAGCAGACAAGCGCCAGAGCCAACAACATGGATTGTCTGCTCTGCTCTTTGCAGCAGACAAGCGCCAGAGCCAACAAAATGGACTGCCTGCTCTGCTCTGTGCAGCAGACAAGCGCCAGAGCCAACAACATGGATTGTCTGCTCTGCTCTGTACAGCAGACAAGCGCCAGAGCCAGCAACATGGATTGTCTGCTCTTCTCTGTACAGCAGACAAGCGCCAGAGCCAACAACATGGATTGTCTGCTCTGCTCTGTATAGCAGACAAGCGCCAGAGCCAACAACATGGATTGTCTGCTCTGCTCTGTGCAGCAGACAAGCGCCAGAGCCAACAACATGGATTGTCTGCTCTGCTCTGTGCAGCAGACAAGCGCCAGAGCCAACAACATGGATTGCCTGCTCTGCTCTGTGCAGCAGACAAGTGCCTGAGCCAACAACATGGATTGTCTGCTCTGCTCTGTACAGCAGACAAGCGCCAAAGCCAACAACATGGATTGTCTGCTCTGCTCTGTGCAGCAGACAAGCGCCAGAGCCAACAACATGGATTATCTGCTCTGCTCTGTACAGCTGACAAGCGCCAGAGCCAACAACATGGAGTGTCTGCTCTGCTCTGTGCAGCTGACAAGCGCCAGAGCCAACAACATGGAGTGTCTGCTCTGCTCTGTGCAGCTGACAAGCGCCAGAGCCAACAACATGGATTGTCTGCTCTGCTCTGTGCAGCAGACAAGCGCCAGAGCCAACAACATGGATTGTCTGCTCTGCTCTGTGCAGCAGACAAGCGCCAGAGCCAACAACATGGATTGTCTGCTCTGCTCTGTGCAGCAGACAAGCGCCAGAGCCAACAACATGGATTGTCTGCTCTGCTCTGTGCAGCAGACAAGCGCCAGAGCCAACAACATGGATTGTCTGCTCTGCTCTGTGCAGCAGACAAGCGCCAGAGCCAACAACATGGATTGTCTGCTCTGCTCTGTACATCAGACAAGCGCCAGAGCCAACAACATGGAGTGTCTGCTCTGCTCTGTGCAGCTGACAAGCGCCAGAGCCAACAACATGGATTGTCTGCTCTGCTCTGTGCAGCAGACAAGCGCCAGAGCCAACAACATGGATTGTCTGCTCTGCTCTGTGCAGCAGACAAGCGCCAGAGCCAACAACATGGATTGTCTGCTCTGCTCTGTGCAGCAGACAAGCGCCAGAGACAACGACATGGATTGTCTGCTCTGCTCTCTGCAGCAGACAAGCGCCAGAGCCAACAACATGGATTGTCTGCTCTACTCTGTGCAGCAGACAAGCGCCAGAGCCAACAACATGGATTGTCTGCTCTGCTCTGTGCAGCAGACAAGCGCCAGAGCCAACAACATGGATTGTCTGCTCTGCTCTGTGCAGCAGACAAGCGCCAGAGCCAACAACATGGATTGTCTGCTCTGCTCTGTGCAGCTGATAAGCGCCAGAGCCAACAACATGGATTGTCTGCTCTGCTCTGTGCAGCAGACAAGCGCCAGAGCCAACAACATGGATTGTCTGCTCTGCTCTGTGCAGCAGACAAGCGCCAGAGCCAACAACATGGATTGTCTGCTCTGCTCTGTGCAGCAGACAAGCGCCAGAGCCAACAACATGGATTGTCTGCTCTGCTCTGTGCAGCAGACAAGCGCCAGAGCCAACAACATGGATTGTCTGCTCTGCTCTGTACATCAGACAAGCGCCAGAGCCAACAACATGGATTGTCTGCTCTACTCTAGTACAGCAGACAAGCGCCAGAGCCAACAACATGGATTGTCCTGCTCTGCTCTGTACAGCAGACAAGCGCCAGAGCCAACAACATGGATTGTCTGCTCTGCTCTGTGCAGCAGACAAGCGCCAGAGCCAACAACATGGATTGTCTGCTCTGCTCTGTGCAGCAGACAAGCGCCAGAGCCAACAACATGGATTATCTGCTCTGCTCTGTACAGCTGACAAGCGTCCAGAGCCAACAACATGGAGTGTCTGCTCTGCTCTGTGCAGCTGACAAGCGCCAGAGCCAACAACATGGATTGTCTGCTCTGCTCTGTGCAGCAGACAAGCGCCAGAGCCAACAACATGGATTGTCTGCTCTGCTCTGTGCAGCAGACAAGCGCCAGAGCCACAACATGGATTGTCTGCTCTGCTCTGTACAGCAGACAAGCGCCAGAGCCAACAACATGGATTGTCTGCTCTGCTCTGTATAGCAGACAAGCGCCAGAGCCAACAACATGGATTGTCTGCTCTGCTCTGTGCAGCAGACAAGCGCCAGAGCCAACAACATGGATTGCCTGCTCTGCTCTGTGCAGCAGACAAGCGCCAGAGCCAACAACATGGATTGCCTGCTCTGCTCTGTACAGCAGACAAGCGCCAAAGCCAACAACATGGATTGTCTGCTCTGCTCTGTGCAGCAGACAAGCGCCAGAGCCAACAACATGGATTGTCTGCTCTGCTCTGTACAGCTGACAAGCGCCAGAGCCAACAACATGGAGTGTCTGCTCTGCTCTGTGCAGCAGACAAGCGCCAGAGCCAACAACATGGATTGCCTGCTCTGCTCTGTGCAGCAGACAAGCGCCAGAGCCAACAACATGGATTGTCTGCTCTGCTCTGTACAGCAGACAAGCGCCAGAGCCAACAACATGGATTGTCTGCTCTGCTCTGTGCAGCAGACAAGCGCCAGAGCCAACAACATGGATTATCTGCTCTGCTCTGTACAGCTGACAAGCGCCAGAGCCAACAACATGGAGTGTCTGCTCTGCTCTGTGCAGCTGACAAGCGCCAGAGCCAACAACATGGATTGTCTGCTCTGCTCTGTGCAGCAGACAAGCGCCAGAGCCAACAACATGGATTGTCTGCTCTACTCTGTGCAGCAGACAAGCGCCAGAGCCAACAACATGGATTGTCTGCTCTGCTCTGTGCAGCAGACAAGCGCCAGAGCCAACGACATGGATTGTCTGCTCTGCTCTGTGCAGCAGACAAGCGCCAGAGCCAACAACATGGATTGTCTGCTCTGCTCTGTGCAGCAGACAAGCGCCAGAGCCAACAACATGGATTGTCTGCTCTGCTCTGTGCAGCAGACAAGCGCCAGAGCCAACAACATGGATTGTCTGCTCTGCTCTGTGCAGCAGACAAGCGCCAGAGCCAACAACATGGATTGTCTGCTCTGCTCTGTGCAGCAGACAAGCGCCAGAGCCAACAACATGGATTGTCTGCTCTGCTCTGTGCAGCAGACAAGCGCCAGAGCCAACAACATGGATTGTCTGCTCTGCTCTGTACAGCAGACAAGCGCCAGAGCCAACAACATGGATTGTCTGCTCTGCTCTGTGCAGCAGAGAAGCGCCAGAGCCAACAACATGGATTGTCTGCTCTGCTCTGTACAGCAGACAAGCGCCAGAGCCAACAACATGGATTGTCTGCTCTGCTCTGTGCAGCATGACAAGCGCCAGAGCCAACAACATGGATTGTCTGCTCTGCTCTGTGCAGCAGACAAGCGCCAGAGCCAACAACATGGATTGTCTGCTCTGCTCTGTACAGCAGACAAGCGCCAGAGCCAACAACATGGATTGTCTGCTCTGCTCTGTACAGCAGACAAGCGCCAGAGCCAACAACATGGATTGTCTGCTCTGCTCTGTACAGCAGACAAGCGCCAGAGCCAACAACATGGATTGTCTGCTCTGCTCTGTGCAGCAGAAAGCGCCAGAGCAACAACATGGATTGTCTGCTCTGCTCTGTGCAGCAGACAAGCGCCAGAGCCAACAACATGGATTGTCTGCTCTGCTCTGTGCAGCAGACAAGCGCCAGAGCCAACAACATGGATTGTCTGCTCTGCTCTTTGCAGCAGACAAGCGCCAGAGCCAACAAAATGGACTGCCTGCTCTGCTCTGTGCAGCAGACAAGCGCCAGAGCCAACAACATGGATTGTCTGCTCTGCTCTGTACAGCAGACAAGCGCCAGAGCCAGCAACATGGATTGTCTGCTCTGCTCTGTACAGCAGACAAGCGCCAGAGCCAACAACATGGATTGTCTGCTCTGCTCTGTATAGCAGACAAGCGCCAGAGCCAACAACATGGATTGTCTGCTCTGCTCTGTGCAGCAGACAAGCGCCAGAGCCAACAACATGGATTGTCTGCTCTGCTCTGTGCAGCAGACAAGCGCCAGAGCCAACAACATGGATTGCCTGCTCTGCTCTGTGCAGCAGACAAGCGCCAGAGCCAACAACATGGATTGTCTGCTCTGCTCTGTACAGCAGACAAGCGCCAAAGCCAACAACATGGATTGTCTGCTCTGCTCTGTGCAGCAGACAAGCGCCAGAGCCAACAACATGGATTATCTGCTCTGCTCTGTACAGCTGACAAGCGCCAGAGCCAACAACATGGAGTGTCTGCTCTGCTCTGTGCAGCAGACAAGCGCCAGAGCCAACAACATGGATTGTCTGCTCTGCTCTGTGCAGCAGACAAGCGCCAGAGCCAACAACATGGATTGTCTGCTCTGCTCTGTACAGCAGACAAGCGCCAGAGCCAACAACATGGATTGTCTGCTCTGCTCTGTGCAGCAGACAAGCGCCAGAGCCAACAACATGGATTGTCTGCTCTGCTCTGTACAGCTGACAAGCGCCAGAGCCAACAACATGGATTGTCTGCTCTGCTCTGTGCAGCAGACAAGCGCCAGAGCCAACAACATGGATTGTCTGCTCTGCTCTGTGCAGCAGACAAGCGCCAGAGCCAACAACATGGATTGTCTGCTCTGCTCTGTGCAGCAGACAAGCGCCAGAGCCAACAACATGGATTGTCTGCTCTGCTCTGTGCAGCAGACAAGCGCCAGAGCCAACAACATGGATTGTCTGCTCTGCTCTGTGCAGCAGACAAGCGCCAGAGCCAACAACATGGATTGTCTGCTCTGCTCTGTGCAGCAGACAAGCGCCAGAGCCAACAACATGGATTGTCTGCTCTGCTCTGTGCAGCAGACAAGCGCCAGAGCCAACAACATGGATTGTCTGCTCTGCTCTGTGCAGCAGACAAGCGCCAGAGCCAACAACATGGATTGTCTGCTCTGCTCTATGCAGCAGACAAGCGCCAGAGCCAACAACATGGATTGTCTGCTCTGCTCTGTGCAGCAGACAAGCGCCAGAGCCAACAACATGGATTGTCTGCTCTGCTCTGTGCAGCAGACAAGCGCCAGAGCCAACAACATGGATTGTCTGCTCTGCTCTGTACAGCAGACAAGCGCCAGAGCCAACAACATGGATTGTCTGCTCTGCTCTGTGCAGCAGAGAAGCGCAAGAGCCAACAACATGGATTATCTGCTCTGCTCTGTACAGCTGACAAGCGTCAGAGCCAACAACATGGAGTGTCTGCTCTGCTCTGTGCAGCTGACAAGCGCCAGAGCCAACAACATGGATTGTCTGCTCTGCTCTGTGCAGCAGACAAGCGCCAGAGCCAACAACATGGATTGTCTGCTCTGCTCTGTGCAGCAGACAAGCGCCAGAGCCAACAACATGGATTGTCTGCTCTGCTCTGTACAGCAGACAAGCGCCAGAGCCAACAACATGGATTGTCTGCTCTGCTCTGTGCAGCTGACAAGCGCCAGAGCCAACAACATGGATTGTCTGCTCTGCTCTGTGCAGCAGACAAGCGCCAGAGCCAACAACATGGATTGTCTGCTCTGCTCTGTGCAGCAGACAAGCGCCAGAGCCAACAACATGGATTGTGTGCTCTGCTCTGTGCAGCAGACAAGCGCCAGAGCCAACAACATGGATTGTGTGCTCTGCTCTTTGCAGCAGACAAGCGCCAGAGCCAACAACATGGATTGTCTGCTCTGCTCTGTGCAGCAGACAAGCGCCAGAGCCAACAACATGGATTGTCTGCTCTGCTCTGTGCAGCAGACAAGCGCCAGAGCCAACGACATGGATTGTCTGCTCTGCTCTTTGCAGCTGACAAGCGCCAGAGCCAACGACATGGATTGTCTGCTCTGCTCTGTACAGCTGACAAGCGCCAGAGCCAACAGCATGGATTGTCTGCTCTGCTCTGTGCAGCAGACAAGCGCCAGAGCCAACAACATGGATTGTCTGCTCTGCTCTGTACATCAGACAAGCGCCAGAGCCAACAACATGGATTGTCTGCTCTGCTCTATACAGCAGACAAGCGCCAGAGCCAACAACATGGATTGTCTGCTCTGCTCTGTACAGCAGACAAGCGCCAGAGCCAACAACATGGATTGTCTGCTCTGCTCTGTGCAGCAGACAAGCGCCAGAGCCAACAACATGGATTGTCTGCTCTGCTCTTTGCAGCAGACAAGCGCCAGAGCCAACAAAATGGATTGTCTGCTCTGCTCTGTGCAGCAGACAAGCGCCAGAGCCAACAACATGGATTGTCTGCTCTGCTCTGTACAGCAGACAAGCGCCAGAGCCAACAACATGGATTGTCTGCTCTGCTCTGTACAGCAGACAAGCGCCAGAGCCAACAACATGGATTGTCTGCTCTGCTCTGTATAGCAGACAAGCGCCAGAGCCAACAACATGGATTGTCTGCTCTGCTCTGTGCAGCAGACAAGCGCCAGAGCCAACAACATGGATTGTCTGCTCTGCTCTGTGCAGCAGACAAGCGCCAGAGCCAACAACATGGATTGCCTGCTCTGCTCTGTGCAGCAGACAAGCGCCAGAGCCAACAACATGGATTGTCTGCTCTGCTCTGTACAGCAGACAAGCGCCAAGAGCCAACAACATGTATTGTCTGCTCTGCTCTGTGCAGCAGACAAGCGCCAGAGCCAACAACATGGATTATCTGCTCTGCTCTGTACAGCTGACAAGCGCCAGAGCCAACAACATGGATTGTCTGCTCTGCTCTGTGCAGCAGACAAGCGCCAGAGCCAACAACATGGATTGTCTGCTCTGCTCTGTGCAGCAGACAAGCGCCAGAGCCAACAACATGGATTGTCTGCTCTGCTCTGTGCAGCAGACAAGCGCCAGAGCCAACAACATGGATTGTCTGCTCTGCTCTGTGCAGCAGACAAGCGCCAGAGCCAACAACATGGATTGTCTGCTCTGCTCTGTGCAGCAGACAAGCGCCAGAGCCAACAACATGGATTGTCTGCTCTGCTCTGTGCAGCAGACAAGCGCCAGAGCCAACAACATGGATTGTCTGCTCTGCTCTGTGCAGCAGACAAGCGCCAGAGCCAACAACATGGATTGTCTGCTCTGCTCTGTGCAGCAGACAAGCGCCAGAGCCAACAACATGGATTGTCTGCTCTGCTCTGTGCAGCAGACAAGCGCCAGAGCCAACAACATGGATTGTCTGCTCTGCTCTGTGCAGCAGACAAGCGCCAGAGCCAACAACATGGATTGTCTGCTCTGCTCTGTGCAGCAGACAAGCGCCAGAGCCAACAACATGGATTGTCTGCTCTGCTCTGTGCAGCAGACAAGCGCCAGAGCCAACAACATGGATTGTCTGCTCTGCTCTGTAGCAGCAGACAAGCGCCAGAGCCAACAACATGGATTGTCTGCTCTGCTCTGTGCAGCAGACAAGCGCCAGAGCCAACAACATGGATTGTCTGCTCTGCTCTGTGCAGCAGACAAGCGCCAGAGCCAACAACATGGATTGTCTGCTCTGCTCTGTGCAGCAGACAAGCGCCAGAGCCAACAACATGGATTGTCTGCTCTGCTCTGTGCAGCAGACAAGCGCCAGAGCCAACAACATGGATTGTCTGCTCTGCTCTGTGCAGCAGACAAGCGCCAGAGCCAACAACATGGATTGTCTGCTCTGCTCTGTGCAGCAGACAAGCGCCAGAGCCAACAACATGGATTGTCTGCTCTGCTCTGTGCAGCAGACAAGCGCCAGAGCCAACAACATGGATTGTCTGCTCTGCTCTGTGCAGCAGACAAGCGCCAGAGCCAACAACATGGATTGTCTGCTCTGCTCTGTGCAGCAGACAAGCGCCAGAGCCAACAACATGGATTGTCTGCTCTGCTCTGTGCAGCAGACAAGCGCCAGAGCCAACAACATGGATTGTCTGCTCTGCTCTGTGCAGCAGACAAGCGCCAGAGCCAACAACATGGATTGTCTGCTCTGCTCTGTGCAGCAGACAAGCGCCAGAGCCAACAACATGGATTGTCTGCTCTGCTCTGTGCAGCAGACAAGCGCCAGAGCCAACAACATGGATTGTCTGCTCTGCTCTGTGCAGCAGACAAGCGCCAGAGCCAACAACATGGATTGTCTGCTCTGCTCTGTGCAGCAGACAAGCGCCAGAGCCAACGACATGGATTGTCTGCTCTGCTCTGTGCAGCAGACAAGCGCCAGAGCCAACAACATGGATTGTCTGCTCTGCTCTGTACAGCAGACAAGCGCCAGAGCCAACAACATGGATTGTCTGCTCTGCTCTGTGCAGCAGACAAGCGCCAGAGCCAACAACATGGATTGTCTGCTCTGCTCTGTGACAGCAGACAAGCGCCAGAGCCAACAACATGGATTGTCTGCTCTGCTCTGTACAGCAGACAAGCGCCAGAGCCAACAACATGGATTGTCTGCTCTGCTCTGTACAGCAGACAAGCGCCAGAGCCAACAACATGGATTGTCTGCTCTGCTCTGTGCAGCAGACAAGCGCCAGAGCCAACAACATGGATTGTCTGCTCTGCTCTGTGCAGCAGACAAGCGCCAGAGCCAACAACATGGATTGTCTGCTCTGCTCTGTGCAGCAGACAAGCGCCAGAGCCAACAACATGGATTGTCTGCTCTGCTCTGTACAGCAGACAAGCGCCAGAGCCAACAACATGGATTGTCTGCTCTGCTCTGTACAGCAGACAAGCGCCAGAGCCAACAACATGGATTGTCTGCTCTGCTCTGTGCAGCAGACAAGCGCCAGAGCCAACAACATGGATTGTCTGCTCTGCTCTGTGCAGCAGACAAGCGCCAGAGCCAACAACATGGATTGTCTGCTCTGCTCTGTGCAGCAGACAAGCGCCAGAGCCAACAACATGGATTGTCTGCTCTGCTCTGTGCAGCAGACAAGCGCCAGAGCCAACAACATGGATTGTCTGCTCTGCTCTGTACAGCAGACAAGCGCCAGAGCCAACAACATGGATTGTCTGCTCTGCTCTGTGCAGCAGACAAGCGCCAGAGCCAACAACATGGATTGTCTGCTCTGCTCTGTGCAGCAGACAAGCGCCAGAGCCAACAACATGGATTGTCTGCTCTGCTCTGTGCAGCAGACAAGCGCCAGAGCCAACAACATGGATTGTCTGCTCTGCTCTGTGCAGCAGACAAGCGCCAGAGCCAACAACATGGATTGTCTGCTCTGCTCTGTGCAGCAGACAAGCGCCAGAGCCAACAACATGGATTGTCTGCTCTGCTCTGTACAGCAGACAAGCGCCAGAGCCAACAACATGGATTGTCTGCTCTGCTCTGTGCAGCAGACAAGCGCCAGAGCCAACAACATGGATTGTCTGCTCTGCTCTGTGCAGCAGACAAGCGCCAGAGCCAACAACATGGATTGTCTGCTCTGCTCTGTGCAGCAGACAAGCGCCAGAGCCAACAACATGGATTGTCTGCTCTGCTCTGTGCAGCAGACAAGCGCCAGAGCCAACAACATGGATTGTCTGCTCTGCTCTGTGCAGCAGACAAGCGCCAGAGCCAACAACATGGATTGTCTGCTCTGCTCTGTGCAGCAGACAAGCGCCAGAGCCAACAACATGGATTGTCTGCTCTGCTCTGTGCAGCAGACAAGCGCCAGAGCCAACAACATGGATTGTCTGCTCTGCTCTGTGCAGCAGACAAGCGCCAGAGCCAACAACATGGATTGTCTGCTCTGCTCTGTGCAGCAGACAAGCGCCAGAGCCAACAACATGGATTGTCTGCTCTGCTCTGTAGCAGCAGACAAGCGCCAGAGCCAACAACATGGATTGTCTGCTCTGCTCTGTACAGCAGACAAGCGCCAGAGCCAACAACATGGATTGTCTGCTCTGCTCTGTGCAGCAGACAAGCGCCAGAGCCAACAACATGGATTGTCTGCTCTGCTCTGTGCAGCAGACAAGCGCCAGAGCCAACAACATGGATTGTCTGCTCTGCTCTGTGCAGCAGACAAGCGCCAGAGCCAACAACATGGATTGTCTGCTCTGCTCTGTGCAGCAGACAAGCGCCAGAGCCAACAACATGGATTGTCTGCTCTGCTCTGTGCAGCAGACAAGCGCCAGAGCCAACAACATGGATTGTCTGCTCTGCTCTGTGCAGCAGACAAGCGCCAGAGCCAACAACATGGATTGTCTGCTCTGCTCTGTGCAGCAGACAAGCGCCAGAGCCAACAACATGGATTGTCTGCTCTGCTCTGTGCAGCAGACAAGCGCCAGAGCCAACAACATGGATTGTCTGCTCTGCTCTGTGCAGCAGACAAGCGCCAGAGCCAACAACATGGATTGTCTGCTCTGCTCTGTGCAGCAGACAAGCGCCAGAGCCAACAACATGGATTGTCTGCTCTGCTCTGTGCAGCAGACAAGCGCCAGAGCCAACAACATGGATTGTCTGCTCTGCTCTGTGCAGCAGACAAGCGCCAGAGCCAACAACATGGATTGTCTGCTCTGCTCTGTGCAGCAGACAAGCGCCAGAGCCAACAACATGGATTGTCTGCTCTGCTCTGTGCAGCAGACAAGCGCCAGAGCCAACAACATGGATTGTCTGCTCTGCTCTGTGCAGCAGACAAGCGCCAGAGCCAACAACATGGATTGTCTGCTCTGCTCTGTGCAGCAGACAAGCGCCAGAGCCAACAACATGGATTGTCTGCTCTGCTCTGTGCAGCAGACAAGCGCCAGAGCCAACAACATGGATTGTCTGCTCTGCTCTGTGCAGCAGACAAGCGCCAGAGCCAACAACATGGATTGTCTGCTCTGCTCTGTGCAGCAGACAAGCGCCAGAGCCAACAACATGGATTGTCTGCTCTGCTCTGCTCTGTACAGCAGACAAGCGCCAGAGCCAACAACATGGATTGTCTGCTCTGCTCTGTGCAGCAGACAAGCGCCAGAGCCAACAACATGGATTGTCTGCTCTGCTCTGTAGCAGCAGACAAGCGCCAGAGCCAACAACATGGATTGTCTGCTCTGCTCTGTGCAGCAGACAAGCGCCAGAGCCAACAACATGGATTGTCTGCTCTGCTCTGTGCAGCAGACAAGCGCCAGAGCCAACAACATGGATTGTCTGCTCTGCTCTGTACAGCAGACAAGCGCCAGAGCCAACAACATGGATTGTCTGCTCTGCTCTGTGACAGCAGACAAGCGCCAGAGCCAACAACATGGATTGTCTGCTCTGCTCTGTGCAGCAGACAAGCGCCAGAGCCAACAACATGGATTGTCTGCTCTGCTCTGTGCAGCAGACAAGCGCCAGAGCCAACAACATGGATTGTCTGCTCTGCTCTGTGCAGCAGACAAGCGCCAGAGCCAACAACATGGATTGTCTGCTCTGCTCTGTGCAGCAGACAAGCGCCAGAGCCAACAACATGGATTGTCTGCTCTGCTCTGTGCAGCAGACAAGCGCCAGAGCCAACAACATGGATTGTCTGCTCTGCTCTGTGCAGCAGACAAGCGCCAGAGCCAACAACATGGATTGTCTGCTCTGCTCTGTGCAGCAGACAAGCGCCAGAGCCAACAACATGGATTGTCTGCTCTGCTCTGTGCAGCAGACAAGCGCCAGAGCCAACAACATGGATTGTCTGCTCTGCTCTGTGCAGCAGACAAGCGCCAGAGCCAACAACATGGATTGTCTGCTCTGCTCTGTGCAGCAGACAAGCGCCAGAGCCAACAACATGGATTGTCTGCTCTGCTCTGTGCAGCAGACAAGCGCCAGAGCCAACAACATGGATTGTCTGCTCTGCTCTGTGCAGCAGACAAGCGCCAGAGCCAACAACATGGATTGTCTGCTCTGCTCTGTGCAGCAGACAAGCGCCAGAGCCAACAACATGGATTGTCTGCTCTGCTCTGTGCAGCAGACAAGCGCCAGAGCCAACAACATGGATTGTCTGCTCTGCTCTGTGCAGCAGACAAGCGCCAGAGCCAACAACATGGATTGTCTGCTCTGCTCTGTACAGCAGACAAGCGCCAGAGCCAACAACATGGATTGTCTGCTCTGCTCTGTGCAGCAGACAAGCGCCAGAGCCAACAACATGGATTGTCTGCTCTGCTCTGTGCAGCAGACAAGCGCCAGAGCCAACAACATGGATTGTCTGCTCTGCTCTGTGACAGCAGACAAGCGCCAGAGCCAACAACATGGATTGTCTGCTCTGCTCTGTGCAGCAGACAAGCGCCAGAGCCAACAACATGGATTGTCTGCTCTGCTCTGTGCAGCAGACAAGCGCCAGAGCCAACAACATGGATTGTCTGCTCTGCTCTGTACAGCAGACAAGCGCCAGAGCCAACAACATGGATTGTCTGCTCTGCTCTGTGCAGCAGACAAGCGCCAGAGCCAACAACATGGATTGTCTGCTCTGCTCTGTGCAGCAGACAAGCGCCAGAGCCAACAACATGGATTGTCTGCTCTGCTCTGTGCAGCAGACAAGCGCCAGAGCCAACAACATGGATTGTCTGCTCTGCTCTGTGCAGCAGACAAGCGCCAGAGCCAACAACATGGATTGTCTGCTCTGCTCTGTGCAGCAGACAAGCGCCAGAGCCAACAACATGGATTGTCTGCTCTGCTCTGTGCAGCAGACAAGCGCCAGAGCCAACAACATGGATTGTCTGCTCTGCTCTGTGCAGCAGACAAGCGCCAGAGCCAACAACATGGATTGTCTGCTCTGCTCTGTGCAGCAGACAAGCGCCAGAGCCAACAACATGGATTGTCTGCTCTGCTCTGTGCAGCAGACAAGCGCCAGAGCCAACAACATGGATTGTCTGCTCTGCTCTGTGCAGCAGACAAGCGCCAGAGCCAACAACATGGATTGTCTGCTCTGCTCTGTGCAGCAGACAAGCGCCAGAGCCAACAACATGGATTGTCTGCTCTGCTCTGTGCAGCAGACAAGCGCCAGAGCCAACAACATGGATTGTCTGCTCTGCTCTGTGCAGCAGACAAGCGCCAGAGCCAACAACATGGATTGTCTGCTCTGCTCTGTGCAGCAGACAAGCGCCAGAGCCAACAACATGGATTGTCTGCTCTGCTCTGTGCAGCAGACAAGCGCCAGAGCCAACAACATGGATTGTCTGCTCTGCTCTGTGCAGCAGACAAGCGCCAGAGCCAACAACATGGATTGTCTGCTCTGCTCTGTGCAGCAGACAAGCGCCAGAGCCAACAACATGGATTGTCTGCTCTGCTCTGTGCAGCAGACAAGCGCCAGAGCCAACAACATGGATTGTCTGCTCTGCTCTGTGCAGCAGACAAGCGCCAGAGCCAACAACATGGATTGTCTGCTCTGCTCTGTGCAGCAGACAAGCGCCAGAGCCAACAACATGGATTGTCTGCTCTGCTCTGTGCAGCAGACAAGCGCCAGAGCCAACAACATGGATTGTCTGCTCTGCTCTGTGCAGCAGACAAGCGCCAGAGCCAACAACATGGATTGTCTGCTCTGCTCTGTGCAGCAGACAAGCGCCAGAGCCAACAACATGGATTGTCTGCTCTGCTCTGTGCAGCAGACAAGCGCCAGAGCCAACAACATGGATTGTCTGCTCTGCTCTGTGCAGCAGACAAGCGCCAGAGCCAACAACATGGATTGTCTGCTCTGCTCTGTGCAGCAGACAAGCGCCAGAGCCAACAACATGGATTGTCTGCTCTGCTCTGTAGCAGCAGACAAGCGCCAGAGCCAACAACATGGATTGTCTGCTCTGCTCTGTGCAGCAGACAAGCGCCAGAGCCAACAACATGGATTGTCTGCTCTGCTCTGTGCAGCAGACAAGCGCCAGAGCCAACAACATGGATTGTCTGCTCTGCTCTGTGCAGCAGACAAGCGCCAGAGCCAACAACATGGATTGTCTGCTCTGCTCTGTGCAGCAGACAAGCGCCAGAGCCAACAACATGGATTGTCTGCTCTGCTCTGTGCAGCAGACAAGCGCCAGAGCCAACAACATGGATTGTCTGCTCTGCTCTGTACAGCAGACAAGCGCCAGAGCCAACAACATGGATTGTCTGCTCTGCTCTGTGCAGCAGACAAGCGCCAGAGCCAACAACATGGATTGTCTGCTCTGCTCTGTACAGCAGACAAGCGCCAGAGCCAACAACATGGATTGTCTGCTCTGCTCTGTGCAGCAGACAAGCGCCAGAGCCAACAACATGGATTGTCTGCTCTGCTCTGTGCAGCAGACAAGCGCCAGAGCCAACAACATGGATTGTCTGCTCTGCTCTGTGCAGCAGACAAGCGCCAGAGCCAACAACATGGATTGTCTGCTCTGCTCTGTGCAGCAGACAAGCGCCAGAGCCAACAACATGGATTGTCTGCTCTGCTCTGTGCAGCAGACAAGCGCCAGAGCCAACAACATGGATTGTCTGCTCTGCTCTGTGCAGCAGACAAGCGCCAGAGCCAACAACATGGATTGTCTGCTCTGCTCTGTGCAGCAGACAAGCGCCAGAGCCAACAACATGGATTGTCTGCTCTGCTCTGTGCAGCAGACAAGCGCCAGAGCCAACAACATGGATTGTCTGCTCTGCTCTGTGCAGCAGACAAGCGCCAGAGCCAACAACATGGATTGTCTGCTCTGCTCTGTGCAGCAGACAAGCGCCAGAGCCAACAACATGGATTGTCTGCTCTGCTCTGTGCAGCAGACAAGCGCCAGAGCCAACAACATGGATTGTCTGCTCTGCTCTGTGCAGCAGACAAGCGCCAGAGCCAACAACATGGATTGTCTGCTCTGCTCTGTGCAGCAGACAAGCGCCAGAGCCAACAACATGGATTGTCTGCTCTGCTCTGTGCAGCAGACAAGCGCCAGAGCCAACAACATGGATTGTCTGCTCTGCTCTGTGCAGCAGACAAGCGCCAGAGCCAACAACATGGATTGTCTGCTCTGCTCTGTGCAGCAGACAAGCGCCAGAGCCAACAACATGGATTGTCTGCTCTGCTCTGTGCAGCAGACAAGCGCCAGAGCCAACAACATGGATTGTCTGCTCTGCTCTGTGCAGCAGACAAGCGCCAGAGCCAACAACATGGATTGTCTGCTCTGCTCTGTGCAGCAGACAAGCGCCAGAGCCAACAACATGGATTGTCTGCTCTGCTCTGTGCAGCAGACAAGCGCCAGAGCCAACAACATGGATTGTCTGCTCTGCTCTGTGCAGCAGACAAGCGCCAGAGCCAACAACATGGATTGTCTGCTCTGCTCTGTGCAGCAGACAAGCGCCAGAGCCAACAACATGGATTGTCTGCTCTGCTCTGTGCAGCAGACAAGCGCCAGAGCCAACAACATGGATTGTCTGCTCTGCTCTGTGCAGCAGACAAGCGCCAGAGCCAACAACATGGATTGTCTGCTCTGCTCTGTGCAGCAGACAAGCGCCAGAGCCAACAACATGGATTGTCTGCTCTGCTCTGTGCAGCAGACAAGCGCCAGAGCCAACAACATGGATTGTCTGCTCTGCTCTGTGCAGCAGACAAGCGCCAGAGCCAACAACATGGATTGTCTGCTCTGCTCTGTACAGCAGACAAGCGCCAGAGCCAACAACATGGATTGTCTGCTCTGCTCTGTGCAGCAGACAAGCGCCAGAGCCAACAACATGGATTGTCTGCTCTGCTCTGTGCAGCAGACAAGCGCCAGAGCCAACAACATGGATTGTCTGCTCTGCTCTGTAGCAGCAGACAAGCGCCAGAGCCAACAACATGGATTGTCTGCTCTGCTCTGTGCAGCAGACAAGCGCCAGAGCCAACAACATGGATTGTCTGCTCTGCTCTGTGCAGCAGACAAGCGCCAGAGCCAACAACATGGATTGTCTGCTCTGCTCTGTGCAGCAGACAAGCGCCAGAGCCAACAACATGGATTGTCTGCTCTGCTCTGTGCAGCAGACAAGCGCCAGAGCCAACAACATGGATTGTCTGCTCTGCTCTGTGCAGCAGACAAGCGCCAGAGCCAACAACATGGATTGTCTGCTCTGCTCTGTGCAGCAGACAAGCGCCAGAGCCAACAACATGGATTGTCTGCTCTGCTCTGTGCAGCAGACAAGCGCCAGAGCCAACAACATGGATTGTCTGCTCTGCTCTGTGCAGCAGACAAGCGCCAGAGCCAACAACATGGATTGTCTGCTCTGCTCTGTGCAGCAGACAAGCGCCAGAGCCAACAACATGGATTGTCTGCTCTGCTCTGTACAGCAGACAAGCGCCAGAGCCAACAACATGGATTGTCTGCTCTGCTCTGTGCAGCAGACAAGCGCCAGAGCCAACAACATGGATTGTCTGCTCTGCTCTGTGCAGCAGACAAGCGCCAGAGCCAACAACATGGATTGTCTGCTCTGCTCTGTGCAGCAGACAAGCGCCAGAGCCAACAACATGGATTGTCTGCTCTGCTCTGTGCAGCAGACAAGCGCCAGAGCCAACAACATGGATTGTCTGCTCTGCTCTGTGCAGCAGACAAGCGCCAGAGCCAACAACATGGATTGTCTGCTCTGCTCTGTGCAGCAGACAAGCGCCAGAGCCAACAACATGGATTGTCTGCTCTGCTCTGTGCAGCAGACAAGCGCCAGAGCCAACAACATGGATTGTCTGCTCTGCTCTGTGCAGCAGACAAGCGCCAGAGCCAACAACATGGATTGTCTGCTCTGCTCTGTGCAGCAGACAAGCGCCAGAGCCAACAACATGGATTGTCTGCTCTGCTCTGTGCAGCAGACAAGCGCCAGAGCCAACAACATGGATTGTCTGCTCTGCTCTGTGCAGCAGACAAGCGCCAGAGCCAACAACATGGATTGTCTGCTCTGCTCTGTGCAGCAGACAAGCGCCAGAGCCAACAACATGGATTGTCTGCTCTGCTCTGTGCAGCAGACAAGCGCCAGAGCCAACAACATGGATTGTCTGCTCTGCTCTGTGCAGCAGACAAGCGCCAGAGCCAACAACATGGATTGTCTGCTCTGCTCTGTGCAGCAGACAAGCGCCAGAGCCAACAACATGGATTGTCTGCTCTGCTCTGTGCAGCAGACAAGCGCCAGAGCCAACAACATGGATTGTCTGCTCTGCTCTGTGCAGCAGACAAGCGCCAGAGCCAACAACATGGATTGTCTGCTCTGCTCTGTGCAGCAGACAAGCGCCAGAGCCAACAACATGGATTGTCTGCTCTGCTCTGTGCAGCAGACAAGCGCCAGAGCCAACAACATGGATTGTCTGCTCTGCTCTGTGCAGCAGACAAGCGCCAGAGCCAACAACATGGATTGTCTGCTCTGCTCTGTGCAGCAGACAAGCGCCAGAGCCAACAACATGGATTGTCTGCTCTGCTCTGTACAGCAGACAAGCGCCAGAGCCAACAACATGGATTGTCTGCTCTGCTCTGTGCAGCAGACAAGCGCCAGAGCCAACAACATGGATTGTCTGCTCTGCTCTGTGCAGCAGACAAGCGCCAGAGCCAACAACATGGATTGTCTGCTCTGCTCTGTGCAGCAGACAAGCGCCAGAGCCAACAACATGGATTGTCTGCTCTGCTCTGTGCAGCAGACAAGCGCCAGAGCCAACAACATGGATTGTCTGCTCTGCTCTGTGCAGCAGACAAGCGCCAGAGCCAACAACATGGATTGTCTGCTCTGCTCTGTACAGCAGACAAGCGCCAGAGCCAACAACATGGATTGTCTGCTCTGCTCTGTGCAGCAGACAAGCGCCAGAGCCAACAACATGGATTGTCTGCTCTGCTCTGTGCAGCAGACAAGCGCCAGAGCCAACAACATGGATTGTCTGCTCTGCTCTGTGCAGCAGACAAGCGCCAGAGCCAACAACATGGATTGTCTGCTCTGCTCTGTGCAGCAGACAAGCGCCAGAGCCAACAACATGGATTGTCTGCTCTGCTCTGTACAGCAGACAAGCGCCAGAGCCAACAACATGGATTGTCTGCTCTGCTCTGTGCAGCAGACAAGCGCCAGAGCCAACAACATGGATTGTCTGCTCTGCTCTGTGCAGCAGACAAGCGCCAGAGCCAACAACATGGATTGTCTGCTCTGCTCTGTGCAGCAGACAAGCGCCAGAGCCAACAACATGGATTGTCTGCTCTGCTCTGTGCAGCAGACAAGCGCCAGAGCCAACAACATGGATTGTCTGCTCTGCTCTGTACAGCAGACAAGCGCCAGAGCCAACAACATGGATTGTCTGCTCTGCTCTGTGCAGCAGACAAGCGCCAGAGCCAACAACATGGATTGTCTGCTCTGCTCTGTGCAGCAGACAAGCGCCAGAGCCAACAACATGGATTGTCTGCTCTGCTCTGTGCAGCAGACAAGCGCCAGAGCCAACAACATGGATTGTCTGCTCTGCTCTGTGCAGCAGACAAGCGCCAGAGCCAACAACATGGATTGTCTGCTCTGCTCTGTGCAGCAGACAAGCGCCAGAGCCAACAACATGGATTGTCTGCTCTGCTCTGTGCAGCAGACAAGCGCCAGAGCCAACAACATGGATTGTCTGCTCTGCTCTGTGCAGCAGACAAGCGCCAAGAGCCAACAACATGGATTGTCTGCTCTGCTCTGTGCAGCAGACAAGCGCCAGAGCCAACAACATGGATTGTCTGCTCTGCTCTGTGCAGCAGACAAGCGCCAGAGCCAACAACATGGATTGTCTGCTCTGCTCTGTGCAGCAGACAAGCGCCAGAGCCAACAACATGGATTGTCTGCTCTGCTCTGTGCAGCAGACAAGCGCCAGAGCCAACAACATGGATTGTCTGCTCTGCTCTGTGCAGCAGACAAGCGCCAGAGCCAACAACATGGATTGTCTGCTCTGCTCTGTGCAGCAGACAAGCGCCAGAGCCAACAACATGGATTGTCTGCTCTGCTCTGTACAGCAGACAAGCGCCAGAGCCAACAACATGGATTGTCTGCTCTGCTCTGTGCAGCAGACAAGCGCCAGAGCCAACAACATGGATTGTCTGCTCTGCTCTGTACAGCAGACAAGCGCCAGAGCCAACAACATGGATTGTCTGCTCTGCTCTGTGCAGCAGACAAGCGCCAGAGCCAACAACATGGATTGTCTGCTCTGCTCTGTGCAGCAGACAAGCGCCAGAGCCAACAACATGGATTGTCTGCTCTGCTCTGTGCAGCAGACAAGCGCCAGAGCCAACAACATGGATTGTCTGCTCTGCTCTGTACAGCAGACAAGCGCCAGAGCCAACAACATGGATTGTCTGCTCTGCTCTGTGCAGCAGACAAGCGCCAGAGCCAACAACATGGATTGTCTGCTCTGCTCTGTGCAGCAGACAAGCGCCAGAGCCAACAACATGGATTGTCTGCTCTGCTCTGTGCAGCAGACAAGCGCCAGAGCCAACAACATGGATTGTCTGCTCTGCTCTGTGCAGCAGACAAGCGCCAGAGCCAACAACATGGATTGTCTGCTCTGCTCTGTGCAGCAGACAAGCGCCAGAGCCAACAACATGGATTGTCTGCTCTGCTCTGTGCAGCAGACAAGCGCCAGAGCCAACAACATGGATTGTCTGCTCTGCTCTGTGCAGCAGACAAGCGCCAGAGCCAACAACATGGATTGTCTGCTCTGCTCTGTGCAGCAGACAAGCGCCAGAGCCAACAACATGGATTGTCTGCTCTGCTCTGTGCAGCAGACAAGCGCCAGAGCCAACAACATGGATTGTCTGCTCTGCTCTGTGCAGCAGACAAGCGCCAGAGCCAACAACATGGATTGTCTGCTCTGCTCTGTGCAGCAGACAAGCGCCAGAGCCAACAACATGGATTGTCTGCTCTGCTCTGTGCAGCAGACAAGCGCCAGAGCCAACAACATGGATTGTCTGCTCTGCTCTGTACAGCAGACAAGCGCCAGAGCCAACAACATGGATTGTCTGCTCTGCTCTGTGCAGCAGACAAGCGCCAGAGCCAACAACATGGATTGTCTGCTCTGCTCTGTGCAGCAGACAAGCGCCAGAGCCAACAACATGGATTGTCTGCTCTGCTCTGTACAGCAGACAAGCGCCAGAGCCAACAACATGGATTGTCTGCTCTGCTCTGTGCAGCAGACAAGCGCCAGAGCCAACAACATGGATTGTCTGCTCTGCTCTGTGCAGCAGACAAGCGCCAGAGCCAACAACATGGATTGTCTGCTCTGCTCTGTGCAGCAGACAAGCGCCAGAGCCAACAACATGGATTGTCTGCTCTGCTCTGTGCAGCAGACAAGCGCCAGAGCCAACAACATGGATTGTCTGCTCTGCTCTGTGCAGCAGACAAGCGCCAGAGCCAACAACATGGATTGTCTGCTCTGCTCTGTGCAGCAGACAAGCGCCAGAGCCAACAACATGGATTGTCTGCTCTGCTCTGTACAGCAGACAAGCGCCAGAGCCAACAACATGGATTGTCTGCTCTGCTCTGTACAGCAGACAAGCGCCAGAGCCAACAACATGGATTGTCTGCTCTGCTCTGTGCAGCAGACAAGCGCCAGAGCCAACAACATGGATTGTCTGCTCTGCTCTGTGCAGCAGACAAGCGCCAGAGCCAACAACATGGATTGTCTGCTCTGCTCTGTGCAGCAGACAAGCGCCAGAGCCAACAACATGGATTGTCTGCTCTGCTCTGTAGCAGCAGACAAGCGCCAGAGCCAACAACATGGATTGTCTGCTCTGCTCTGTACAGCAGACAAGCGCCAGAGCCAACAACATGGATTGTCTGCTCTGCTCTGTGCAGCAGACAAGCGCCAGAGCCAACAACATGGATTGTCTGCTCTGCTCTGTGCAGCAGACAAGCGCCAGAGCCAACAACATGGATTGTCTGCTCTGCTCTGTGCAGCAGACAAGCGCCAGAGCCAACAACATGGATTGTCTGCTCTGCTCTGTGCAGCAGACAAGCGCCAGAGCCAACAACATGGATTGTCTGCTCTGCTCTGTGCAGCAGACAAGCGCCAGAGCCAACAACATGGATTGTCTGCTCTGCTCTGTGCAGCAGACAAGCGCCAGAGCCAACAACATGGATTGTCTGCTCTGCTCTGTGCAGCAGACAAGCGCCAGAGCCAACAACATGGATTGTCTGCTCTGCTCTGTGCAGCAGACAAGCGCCAGAGCCAACAACATGGATTGTCTGCTCTGCTCTGTACAGCAGACAAGCGCCAGAGCCAACAACATGGATTGTCTGCTCTGCTCTGTGCAGCAGACAAGCGCCAGAGCCAACAACATGGATTGTCTGCTCTGCTCTGTGCAGCAGACAAGCGCCAGAGCCAACAACATGGATTGTCTGCTCTGCTCTGTGCAGCAGACAAGCGCCAGAGCCAACAACATGGATTGTCTGCTCTGCTCTGTGCAGCAGACAAGCGCCAGAGCCAACAACATGGATTGTCTGCTCTGCTCTGTACAGCAGACAAGCGCCAGAGCCAACAACATGGATTGTCTGCTCTGCTCTGTGCAGCAGACAAGCGCCAGAGCCAACAACATGGATTGTCTGCTCTGCTCTGTGCAGCAGACAAGCGCCAGAGCCAACAACATGGATTGTCTGCTCTGCTCTGTGCAGCAGACAAGCGCCAGAGCCAACAACATGGATTGTCTGCTCTGCTCTGTGCAGCAGACAAGCGCCAGAGCCAACAACATGGATTGTCTGCTCTGCTCTGTGCAGCAGACAAGCGCCAGAGCCAACAACATGGATTGTCTGCTCTGCTCTGTACAGCAGACAAGCGCCAGAGCCAACAACATGGATTGTCTGCTCTGCTCTGTGCAGCAGACAAGCGCCAGAGCCAACAACATGGATTGTCTGCTCTGCTCTGTGCAGCAGACAAGCGCCAGAGCCAACAACATGGATTGTCTGCTCTGCTCTGTAGCAGCAGACAAGCGCCAGAGCCAACAACATGGATTGTCTGCTCTGCTCTGTGCAGCAGACAAGCGCCAGAGCCAACAACATGGATTGTCTGCTCTGCTCTGTACAGCAGACAAGCGCCAGAGCCAACAACATGGATTGTCTGCTCTGCTCTGTGCAGCAGACAAGCGCCAGAGCCAACAACATGGATTGTCTGCTCTGCTCTGTGCAGCAGACAAGCGCCAGAGCCAACAACATGGATTGTCTGCTCTGCTCTGTGCAGCAGACAAGCGCCAGAGCCAACAACATGGATTGTCTGCTCTGCTCTGTGCAGCAGACAAGCGCCAGAGCCAACAACATGGATTGTCTGCTCTGCTCTGTGCAGCAGACAAGCGCCAGAGCCAACAACATGGATTGTCTGCTCTGCTCTGTGCAGCAGACAAGCGCCAGAGCCAACAACATGGATTGTCTGCTCTGCTCTGTGCAGCAGACAAGCGCCAGAGCCAACAACATGGATTGTCTGCTCTGCTCTGTGCAGCAGACAAGCGCCAGAGCCAACAACATGGATTGTCTGCTCTGCTCTGTGCAGCAGACAAGCGCCAGAGCCAACAACATGGATTGTCTGCTCTGCTCTGTGCAGCAGACAAGCGCCAGAGCCAACAACATGGATTGTCTGCTCTGCTCTGTGCAGCAGACAAGCGCCAGAGCCAACAACATGGATTGTCTGCTCTGCTCTGTGCAGCAGACAAGCGCCAGAGCCAACAACATGGATTGTCTGCTCTGCTCTGTGCAGCAGACAAGCGCCAGAGCCAACAACATGGATTGTCTGCTCTGCTCTGTGCAGCAGACAAGCGCCAGAGCCAACAACATGGATTGTCTGCTCTGCTCTGTGCAGCAGACAAGCGCCAGAGCCAACAACATGGATTGTCTGCTCTGCTCTGTGCAGCAGACAAGCGCCAGAGCCAACAACATGGATTGTCTGCTCTGCTCTGTGCAGCAGACAAGCGCCAGAGCCAACAACATGGATTGTCTGCTCTGCTCTGTGCAGCAGACAAGCGCCAGAGCCAACAACATGGATTGTCTGCTCTGCTCTGTGCAGCAGACAAGCGCCAGAGCCAACAACATGGATTGTCTGCTCTGCTCTGTGCAGCAGACAAGCGCCAGAGCCAACAACATGGATTGTCTGCTCTGCTCTGTACAGCAGACAAGCGCCAGAGCCAACAACATGGATTGTCTGCTCTGCTCTGTCAGCAGACAAGCGCCAGAGCCAATGATTGTCTGCTCTGCTCTGTGCAGCAGACAAGCGCCAGAGCAACAACATGGATTGTCTGCTCTGCTCTGTACAGCAGACAAGCGCCAGAGCCAACAACATGGATTGTCTGCTCTGCTCTGTGCAGCAGACAAGCGCCAGAGCCAACAACATGGATTGTCTGCTCTGCTCTGTACAGCAGACAAGCGCCAGAGCCAACAACATGGATTGTCTGCTCTGCTCTGTACAGCAGACAAGCGCCAGAGCCAACAACATGGATTGTCTGCTCTGCTCTGTGCAGCAGACAAGCGCCAGAGCCAACAACATGGATTGTCTGCTCTGCTCTGTGCAGCAGACAAGCGCCAGAGCCAACAACATGGATTGTCTGCTCTGCTCTGTGCAGCAGACAAGCGCCAGAGCCAACAACATGGATTGTCTGCTCTGCTCTGTGCAGCAGACAAGCGCCAGAGCCAACAACATGGATTGTCTGCTCTGCTCTGTACAGCAGACAAGCGCCAGAGCCAACAACATGGATTGTCTGCTCTGCTCTGTGCAGCAGACAAGCGCCAGAGCCAACAACATGGATTGTCTGCTCTGCTCTGTGCAGCAGACAAGCGCCAGAGCCAACAACATGGATTGTCTGCTCTGCTCTGTGCAGCAGACAAGCGCCAGAGCCAACAACATGGATTGTCTGCTCTGCTCTGTGCAGCAGACAAGCGCCAGAGCCAACAACATGGATTGTCTGCTCTGCTCTGTGCAGCAGACAAGCGCCAGAGCCAACAACATGGATTGTCTGCTCTGCTCTGTGCAGCAGACAAGCGCCAGAGCCAACAACATGGATTGTCTGCTCTGCTCTGTGCAGCAGACAAGCGCCAGAGCCAACAACATGGATTGTCTGCTCTGCTCTGTGCAGCAGACAAGCGCCAGAGCCAACAACATGGATTGTCTGCTCTGCTCTGTGCAGCAGACAAGCGCCAGAGCCAACAACATGGATTGTCTGCTCTGCTCTGTGCAGCAGACAAGCGCCAGAGCCAACAACATGGATTGTCTGCTCTGCTCTGTGCAGCAGACAAGCGCCAGAGCCAACAACATGGATTGTCTGCTCTGCTCTGTACAGCAGACAAGCGCCAGAGCCAACAACATGGATTGTCTGCTCTGCTCTGTGCAGCAGACAAGCGCCAGAGCCAACAACATGGATTGTCTGCTCTGCTCTGTGCAGCAGACAAGCGCCAGAGCCAACAACATGGATTGTCTGCTCTGCTCTGTGCAGCAGACAAGCGCCAGAGCCAACAACATGGATTGTCTGCTCTGCTCTGTAGCAGCAGACAAGCGCCAGAGCCAACAACATGGATTGTCTGCTCTGCTCTGTGCAGCAGACAAGCGCCAGAGCCAACAACATGGATTGTCTGCTCTGCTCTGTGCAGCAGACAAGCGCCAGAGCCAACAACATGGATTGTCTGCTCTGCTCTGTGCAGCAGACAAGCGCCAGAGCCAACAACATGGATTGTCTGCTCTGCTCTGTGCAGCAGACAAGCGCCAGAGCCAACAACATGGATTGTCTGCTCTGCTCTGTACAGCAGACAAGCGCCAGAGCCAACAACATGGATTGTCTGCTCTGCTCTGTACAGCAGACAAGCGCCAGAGCCAACAACATGGATTGTCTGCTCTGCTCTGTACAGCAGACAAGCGCCAGAGCCAACAACATGGATTGTCTGCTCTGCTCTGTACAGCAGACAAGCGCCAGAGCCAACAACATGGATTGTCTGCTCTGCTCTGTGCAGCAGACAAGCGCCAGAGCCAACAACATGGATTGTCTGCTCTGCTCTGTGCAGCAGACAAGCGCCAGAGCCAACAACATGGATTGTCTGCTCTGCTCTGTGCAGCAGACAAGCGCCAGAGCCAACAACATGGATTGTCTGCTCTGCTCTGTGCAGCAGACAAGCGCCAGAGCCAACAACATGGATTGTCTGCTCTGCTCTGTGCAGCAGACAAGCGCCAGAGCCAACAACATGGATTGTCTGCTCTGCTCTGTGCAGCAGACAAGCGCCAGAGCCAACAACATGGATTGTCTGCTCTGCTCTGTACAGCAGACAAGCGCCAGAGCCAACAACATGGATTGTCTGCTCTGCTCTGTGCAGCAGACAAGCGCCAGAGCCAACAACATGGATTGTCTGCTCTGCTCTGTGCAGCATGACAAGCGCCAGAGCCAACAACATGGATTGTCTGCTCTGCTCTGTGCAGCAGACAAGCGCCAGAGCCAACAACATGGATTGTCTGCTCTGCTCTGTACAGCAGACAAGCGCCAGAGCCAACAACATGGATTGTCTGCTCTGCTCTGTGCAGCAGACAAGCGCCAGAGCCAACAACATGGATTGTCTGCTCTGCTCTGTGCAGCAGACAAGCGCCAGAGCCAACAACATGGATTGTCTGCTCTGCTCTGTGCAGCAGACAAGCGCCAGAGCCAACAACATGGATTGTCTGCTCTGCTCTGTGCAGCAGACAAGCGCCAGAGCCAACAACATGGATTGTCTGCTCTGCTCTGTGCAGCAGACAAGCGCCAGAGCCAACAACATGGATTGTCTGCTCTGCTCTGTGCAGCAGACAAGCGCCAGAGCCAACAACATGGATTGTCTGCTCTGCTCTGTGCAGCAGACAAGCGCCAGAGCCAACAACATGGATTGTCTGCTCTGCTCTGTGCAGCAGACAAGCGCCAGAGCCAACAACATGGATTGTCTGCTCTGCTCTGTGCAGCAGACAAGCGCCAGAGCCAACAACATGGATTGTCTGCTCTGCTCTGTGCAGCAGACAAGCGCCAGAGCCAACAACATGGATTGTCTGCTCTGCTCTGTGCAGCAGACAAGCGCCAGAGCCAACAACATGGATTGTCTGCTCTGCTCTGTGCAGCAGACAAGCGCCAGAGCCAACAACATGGATTGTCTGCTCTGCTCTGTGCAGCAGACAAGCGCCAGAGCCAACAACATGGATTGTCTGCTCTGCTCTGTGCAGCAGACAAGCGCCAGAGCCAACAACATGGATTGTCTGCTCTGCTCTGTGCAGCAGACAAGCGCCAGAGCCAACAACATGGATTGTCTGCTCTGCTCTGTGCAGCAGACAAGCGCCAGAGCCAACAACATGGATTGTCTGCTCTGCTCTGTACAGCAGACAAGCGCCAGAGCCAACAACATGGATTGTCTGCTCTGCTCTGTACAGCAGACAAGCGCCAGAGCCAACAACATGGATTGTCTGCTCTGCTCTGTGCAGCAGACAAGCGCCAGAGCCAACAACATGGATTGTCTGCTCTGCTCTGTGCAGCAGACAAGCGCCAGAGCCAACAACATGGATTGTCTGCTCTGCTCTGTGCAGCAGACAAGCGCCAGAGCCAACAACATGGATTGTCTGCTCTGCTCTGTACAGCAGACAAGCGCCAGAGCCAACAACATGGATTGTCTGCTCTGCTCTGTACAGCAGACAAGCGCCAGAGCCAACAACATGGATTGTCTGCTCTGCTCTGTGCAGCAGACAAGCGCCAAAGCCAACAACATGGATTGTCTGCTCTGCTCTGTGCAGCAGACAAGCGCCAGAGCCAACAACATGGATTGTCTGCTCTGCTCTGTGCAGCAGACAAGCGCCAGAGCCAACAACATGGATTGTCTGCTCTGCTCTGTACAGCAGACAAGCGCCAGAGCCAACAACATGGATTGTCTGCTCTGCTCTGTGCAGCAGACAAGCGCCAGAGCCAACAACATGGATTGTCTGCTCTGCTCTGTGCAGCAGACAAGCGCCAGAGCCAACAACATGGATTGTCTGCTCTGCTCTGTACAGCAGACAAGCGCCAGAGCCAACAACATGGATTGTCTGCTCTGCTCTGTGCAGCAGACAAGCGCCAGAGCCAACAACATGGATTGTCTGCTCTGCTCTGTGCAGCAGACAAGCGCCAGAGCCAACAACATGGATTGTCTGCTCTGCTTCTGTGCAGCAGACAAGCGCCAGAGCCAACAACATGGATTGTCTGCTCTGCTCTGTGCAGCAGACAAGCGCCAGAGCCAACAACATGGATTGTCTGCTCTGCTCTGTGCAGCAGACAAGCGCCAGAGCCAACAACATGGATTGTCTGCTCTGCTCTGTGCAGCAGACAAGCGCCAGAGCCAACAACATGATTGTCTGCTCTGCTCTGTGCAGCAGACAAGCGCCAGAGCCAACAACATGGATTGTCTGCTTCTGCTCTGTGCAGCAGACAAGCGCCAGAGCCAACAACATGGATTGTCTGCTCTGCTCTGTACAGCAGACAAGCGCCAGAGCCAACAACATGGATTGTCTGCTCTGCTCTGTGCAGCAGACAAGCGCCAGAGCCAACAACATGGATTGTCTGCTCTGCTCTGTGCAGCAGACAAGCGCCAGAGCCAACAACATGGATTGTCTGCTCTGCTCTGTGCAGCAGACAAGCGCCAGAGCCAACAACATGGATTGTCTGCTCTGCTCTGTGCAGCAGACAAGCGCCAGAGCCAACAACATGGATTGTCTGCTCTGCTCTGTGCAGCAGACAAGCGCCAGAGCCAACAACATGGATTGTCTGCTCTGCTCTGTGCAGCAGACAAGCGCCAGAGCCAACAACATGGATTGTCTGCTCTGCTCTGTGCAGCAGACAAGCGCCAGAGCCAACAACATGGATTGTCTGCTCTGCTCTGTGCAGCAGACAAGCGCCAGAGCCAACAACATGGATTGTCTGCTCTGCTCTGTGCAGCAGACAAGCGCCAGAGCCAAGCAACATGGATTGTCTGCTCTGCTCTGTGCAGCAGACAAGCGCCAGAGCCAACAACATGGATTGTCTGCTCTGCTCTGTGCAGCAGACAAGCGCCAGAGCCAACAACATGGATTGTCTGCTCTGCTCTGTGCAGCAGACAAGCGCCAGAGCCAACAACATGGATTGTCTGCTCTGCTCTGTGCAGCAGACAAGCGCCAGAGCCAACAACATGGATTGTCTGCTCTGCTCTGTGCAGCAGACAAGCGCCAGAGCCAACAACATGGATTGTCTGCTCTGCTCTGTGCAGCAGACAAGCGCCAGAGCCAACAACATGGATTGTCTGCTCTGCTCTGTGCAGCAGACAAGCGCCAGAGCCAACAACATGGATTGTCTGCTCTGCTCTGTGCAGCAGACAAGCGCCAGAGCCAACAACATGGATTGTCTGCTCTGCTCTGTGCAGCAGACAAGCGCCAGAGCCAACAACATGGATTGTCTGCTCTGCTCTGTACAGCAGACAAGCGCCAGAGCCAACAACATGGATTGTCTGCTCTGCTCTGTGCAGCAGACAAGCGCCAGAGCCAACAACATGGATTGTCTGCTCTGCTCTGTGCAGCAGACAAGCGCCAGAGCCAACAACATGGATTGTCTGCTCTGCTCTGTACAGCAGACAAGCGCCAGAGCCAACAACATGGATTGTCTGCTCTGCTCTGTAGCAGCAGACAAGCGCCAGAGCCAACAACATGGATTGTCTGCTCTGCTCTGTGCAGCAGACAAGCGCCAGAGCCAACAACATGGATTGTCTGCTCTGCTCTGTACAGCAGACAAGCGCCAGAGCCAACAACATGGATTGTCTGCTCTGCTCTGTATAGCAGACAAGCGCCAGAGCCAACAACATGGATTGTCTGCTCTGCTCTGTACAGCAGACAAGCGCCAGAGCCAACAACATGGATTGTCTGCTCTGCTCTGTACAGCAGACAAGCGCCAGAGCCAACAACATGGATTGTCTGCTCTGCTCTGTATAGCAGACAAGCGCCAGAGCCAACAACATGGATTGTCTGCTCTGCTCTGTGCAGCTGACAAGCGCCAGAGCCAACAACATGGATTGTCTGCTCTGCTCTGTGCAGCAGACAAGCGCCAGAGCCAACAACATGGATTGTCTGCTCTGCTCTGTACAGCAGACAAGCGCCAGAGCCAACAACATGGATTGTCTGCTCTGCTCTGTACAGCAGACAAGCGCCAGAGCCAACAACATGGATTGTCTGCTCTGCTCTGAATAGCAGACAAGCGCCAGAGCCAACAACATGGATTGTCTGCTCTGCTCTGTGCAGCAGACAAGCGCCAGAGCCAACAACATGGATTGTCTGCTCTGCTCTGTGCAGCAGACAAGCGCCAGAGCCAACAACATGGATTGCCTGCTCTGCTCTGTGCAGCAGACAAGCGCCAGAGCCAACAACATGGATTGTCTGCTCTGCTCTGTACAGCAGACAAGCGCCAGAGCCAACAACATGGATTGTCTGCTCTGCTCTGTGCAGCAGACAAGCGCCAGAGCCAACAACATGGATTAGTCTGCTCTGCTCTGTACAGCTAGACAAGCGCCAGAGCCAACAACATGGAGTGTCTGCTCTGCTCTGTGCAGCTGACAAGCGCCAGAGCCAACAACATGGATTGTCTGCTCTGCTCTGTGCAGCAGACAAGCGCCAGAGCCAACAACATGGATTGTCTGCTCTTCTCTGTGCAGCAGACAAGCGCCAGAGCCAACAACATAGATTGTCTGCTCTGCTCTGTGCAGCAGACAAGCGCCAGAGCCAACAACATGGATTTTCTGCTCTGCTCTGTGCAGCAGACAAGCGCCAGAGCCAACAACATGGATTGTCTGCTCTGCTCTGTACAGCAGACAAGCGCCAGAGCCAACAACATGGATTGTCTGCTCTGCTCTGTGCAGCAGACAAGCGCCAGAGCCAACAACATGGATTGTCTGCTCTGCTCTGTGCAGCAGACAAGCGCCAGAGCCAACAACATGGATTGCCTGCTCTGCTCTGTGCAGCAGACAAGGGCCAGAGCCAACAACATGGATTGTCAGCTCTGCTCTGTACAGCAGACAAGCGCCAGAGCCAACAACATGGATTGTCTGCTCTGCTCTGTGCAGCAGACAAGCGCCAGAGCCAACAACATGGATTGTCTGCTCTGCTCTGTGCAGCAGACAAGCGCCAGAGCCAACAACATGGATTGTCTGCTCTGCTCTGTACAGCAGACAAGCGCCAGAGCCAACAACATGGATTGTCTGCTCTGCTCTGTATAGCAGACAAGCGCCAGAGCCAACAACATGGATTGTCTGCTCTGCTCGGTACAGCAGACAAGCGCCAGAGCCAACAACATGGATTGTCTGCTCTGCTCTGTACAGCAGACAAGCGCCAGAGCCAACAACATGGATTGTCTGCTCTGCTCTGTATAGCAGACAAGCGCCAGAGCCAACAACATGGATTGTCTGCTCTGCTCTGTGCAGCTGACAAGCGCCAGAGCCAACAACATGGATTGTCTGCTCTGCTCTGTGCAGCAGACAAGCGCCAGAGCCAACAACATGGATTGTCTGCTCTGCTCTGTACAGCAGACAAGCGCCAGAGCCAACAACATGGATTGTCTGCTCTGCTCTGTACAGCAGACAAGCGCCAGAGCCAACAACATGGATTGTCTGCTCTGCTCTGAATAGCAGACAAGCGCCAGAGCCAACAACATGGATTGTCTGCTCTGCTCTGTGCAGCAGACAAGCGCCAGAGCCAACAACATGGATTGTCTGCTCTGCTCTGTGCAGCAGACAAGCGCCAGAGCCAACAACATGGATTGCCTGCTCTGCTCTGTGCAGCAGACAAGCGCCAGAGCCAACAACATGGATTGTCTGCTCTGCTCTGTGCAGCAGACAAGCGCCAGAGCCAACAACATGGATTGTCTGCTCTGCTCTGTGCAGCAGACAAGCGCCAGAGCCAACAACATGGATTGCCTGCTCTGCTCTGTGCAGCAGACAAGCGCCAGAGCCAACAACATGGATTGTCTGCTCTGCTCTGTACAGCAGACAAGCGCCAGAGCCAACAACATGGATTGTCTGCTCTGCTCTGTGCAGCAGACAAGCGCCAGAGCCAACAACATGGATTATTTGCTCTGCTCTGTACAGCTGACAAGCGCCAGAGCCAACAACATGGAGTGTCTGCTCTGCTCTGTGCAGCTGACAAGCGCCAGAGCCAACAACATGGATTGTCTGCTCTGCTCTGTGCAGCAGACAAGCGCCAGAGCCAACAACATGGATTGTCTGCTCTTCTCTGTGCAGCAGACAAGCGCCAGAGCCAACAACATAGATTGTCTGCTCTGCTCTGTGCAGCAGACAAGCGCCAGAGCCAACAACATGGATTTTCTGCTCTGCTCTGTGCAGCAGACAAGCGCCAGAGCCAACAACATGGATTGTCTGCTCTGCTCTGTACAGCAGACAAGCGCCAGAGCCAACAACATGGATTGTCTGCTCTGCTCTGTGCAGCAGACAAGCGCCAGAGCCAACAACATGGATTGTCTGCTCTGCTCTGTGCAGCAGACAAGCGCCAGAGCCAACAACATGGATTGCCTGCTCTGCTCTGTGCAGCAGACAAGGGCCAGAGCCAACAACATGGATTGTCAGCTCTGCTCTGTACAGCAGACAAGCGCCAGAGCCAACAACATGGATTGTCTGCTCTGCTCTGTGCAGCAGACAAGCGCCAGAGCCAACAACATGGATTGTCTGCTCTGCTCTGTGCAGCAGACAAGCGCCAGAGCCAACAACATGGATTGTCTGCTCTGCTCTGTACAGCAGACAAGCGCCAGAGCCAACAACATGGATTGTCTGCTCTGCTCTGTATAGCAGACAAGCGCCAGAGCCAACAACATGGATTGTCTGCTCTGCTCTGTACAGCAGACAAGCGCCAGAGCCAACAACATGGATTGTCTGCTCTGCTCTGTACAGCAGACAAGCGCCAGAGCCAACAACATGGATTGTCTGCTCTGCTCTGTATAGCAGACAAGCGCCAGAGCCAACAACATGGATTGTCTGCTCTGCTCTGTGCAGCTGACAAGCGCCAGAGCCAACAACATGGATTGTCTGCTCTGCTCTGTGCAGCAGACAAGCGCCAGAGCCAACAACATGGATTGTCTGCTCTGCTCTGTACAGCAGACAAGCGCCAGAGCCAACAACATGGATTGTCTGCTCTGCTCTGTACAGCAGACAAGCGCCAGAGCCAACAACATGGATTGTCTGCTCTGCTCTGAATAGCAGACAAGCGCCAGAGCCAACAACATGGATTGTCTGCTCTGCTCTGTGCAGCAGACAAGCGCCAGAGCCAACAACATGGATTGTCTGCTCTGCTCTGTGCAGCAGACAAGCGCCAGAGCCAACAACATGGATTGCCTGCTCTGCTCTGTGCAGCAGACAAGCGCCAGAGCCAACAACATGGATTGTCTGCTCTGCTCTGTACAGCAGACAAGCGCCAGAGCCAACAACATGGATTGTCTGCTCTGCTCTGTGCAGCAGACAAGCGCCAGAGCCAACAACATGGATTATTTGCTCTGCTCTGTACAGCTGACAAGCGCCAGAGCCAACAACATGGAGTGTCTGCTCTGCTCTGTGCAGCTGACAAGCGCCAGAGCCAACAACATGGATTGTCTGCTCTGCTCTGTGCAGCAGACAAGCGCCAGAGCCAACAACATGGATTGTCTGCTCTTCTCTGTGCAGCAGACAAGCGCCAGAGCCAACAACATAGATTGTCTGCTCTGCTCTGTGCAGCAGACAAGCGCCAGAGCCAACAACATGGATTTTCTGCTCTGCTCTGTGCAGCAGACAAGCGCCAGAGCCAACAACATGGATTGTCTGCTCTGCTCTGTACAGCAGACAAGCGCCAGAGCCAACAACATGGATTGTCTGCTCTGCTCTGTGCAGCAGACAAGCGCCAGAGCCAACAACATGGATTGTCTGCTCTGCTCTGTGCAGCAGACAAGCGCCAGAGCCAACAACATGGATTGCCTGCTCTGCTCTGTGCAGCAGACAAGGGCCAGAGCCAACAACATGGATTGTCTGCTCTGCTCTGTACAGCAGACAAGCGCCAGAGCCAACAACATGGATTGTCTGCTCTGCTCTGTGCAGCAGACAATCGCAAGAGCCAACAACATGGATTATCTGCTCTGCTCTGTACAGCTGACAAGCGCCAGAGCCAACAACTTGGAGTGTCTGCTCTGCTCTGTGCAGCTTACAAGCGCCAGAGCCAACAACATGGATTGTCTGCTCTGCTCTGTGCAGCAGACAAGCGCCAGAGCCAACAACATGGAGTGTCTGCTCTGCTCTGTGCAGCAGACAAGCGCAAGAGCCAACAACATGGATTATCTGCTCTGCTCTGTGCAGCTGACAAGCGCCAGAGCCAACAACATGGATTGTCTGCTCTGCTTTGTGCAGCAGACAAGCGCCAGAGCCAACAACATGGATTGTCTGCTCTGCTCTGTGCAGCAGACAAGCGCCAGAGCCAACAATATGGATTGTCTGCTCTGCTCTGTGCAGCAGAGAAGCGCCAGAGCCAACAACATGGATTGTCTGCTCTGCTCTGTGCAGCAGACAAGCGCCAGAGCCAACAACATGGATTGTCTGCTCTGCTCTGTGCAGCAGACAAGCGCCAGAGCCAACAACATGGATTGTCTGCTCTGCTCTGTGCAGCAGACAAGCGCCAGAGCCAACAACATGGATTGTCAGCTCTGCTCTGTGCAGCAGACAAGCGCCAGAGCCAACAACATGGATTGTCTGCTCTGCTCTGTGCAGCAGACAAGCGCCAGAGCCAACGACATGGATTGTCTGCTCTGCTCTGTGCAGCAGACAAGCGCCAGAGCCAACAACATGGATTGTCTGATCTACTCTGTGCAGCAGACAAGCGCCAGAGCCAACGACATGGATTGTGTGCTCTGCTCTTTGCAGCTGACAAGCGCTAGAGCCAACAGCATGGATTGTCTGCTCTGCTCTGTACAGCTGACAAGCGCCAGAGCCAACAGCATGGATTGTCTGCTCTGCTCTGTGCAGCAGACAAGCGCCAGAGCCAACAGCATGGATTGTCTGCTCTGCTCTGTGCAGCAGACAAGCGCCAGAGCCAACAACATGGATTGTCTGCTCTGCTCTGTACAGCAGACAAGCGCCAGAGCCAACAACATGGATTGTCTGCTCTGCTCTGTACAGCAGACAAGCGCCAGAGCCAACAACATGGATTGTCTGCTCTGCTCTGTATAGCAGACAAGCGCCAGAGCCAACAACATGGATATTCTGCTCTGCTCTGTGCAGCAGACAAGCGCCAGAGCCAACAACATGGATTGTCTGCTCTGCTCTGTGCAGCAGACAAGCGCCAGAGCCAACAACATGGATTGTCTGCTCTGCTCTGTACAGCAGACAAGCGCCAGAGCCAACAACATGGATTGTCTGCTCTGCTCTGTGCAGCAGACAAGCGCCAGAGCCAACAACATGGATTGTGTGCTGTGCTCTTTGCAGCTGACAAGCGCCAGAGCCGACGACATGGATTGTCTGCTCTGCTCTGTACAGCTGACAAGCGCCAGAGCCAACAGCATGGATTGTCTGCTCTGCTCTGTGCAGCAGACAAGCGCCAGAGCCAACAACATGGATTGTCTGCTCTGCTCTGTACAGCAGACAAGCGCCAGAGCCAACAACATGGATTGTCTGCTCTGCTCTGTACAGCAGACAAGCGCCAGAGCCAACAACATGGATTGTCTGCTCTGCTCTGTATAGCAGACAAGCGCCAGAGCCAACAACATAGATTGTCTGCTCTGCTCTGTGCAGCAGACAAGCGCCAGAGCCAACAACATGGATTGTCTGCTCTGCTCTGTGCAGCAGACAAGCGCCAGAGCCAACAACATGGATTGTCTGCTCTGCTCTGTACAGCAGACAAGCGCCAGAGCCAACAACATGGATTGTCTGCTCTGCTCTGTGCAGCAGACAAGCGCCAGAGCCAACAACATGGATTGTCTGCTCTGCTCTGTGCAGCAGACAAGCGCCAGAGCCAACAACATGGATTGTCTGCTCTGCTCTGTACAGCAGACAAGCGCCAGAGCCAACAACATGGAGTGTCTGCTCTGCTCTGTGCAGCAGACAAGCGCAAGAGCCAACAACATGGATTGTCTGCTCTGCTCTGTGCAGCAGACAAGCGCCAGAGCCAACAACATGGATTGTCTGCTCTGCTTTGTGCAGCAGACAAGCGCCAGAGCCAACAACATGGATTGTCTGCTCTGTTCTGTGCAGCAGACAAGCGCCAGAGCCAACAACATGGATTGTCTGCTCTGCTCTGTGCAGCAGACAAGCGCCAGAGCCAACAACATGGATTGTCTGCTCTGCTCTGTGCAGCAGACAAGCGCCAGAGCCAACAACATGGATTGTCTGCTCTGCTCTGTGCAGCAGACAAGCGCCAGAGCCAACAACATGGATTGTCTGTTCTGCTCTGTGCAGCAGACAAGCGCCAGAGCCAACAACATGGATTGTCAGCTCTGCTCTGTACAGCAGACAAGCGCCAGAGCCAACAACATGGATTGTCAGCTCTGCTCTGTGCAGCAGACAAGCGCCAGAGCCAACGACATGGATTGTCTGCTCTGCTCTGTGCAGCAGACAAGCGCCAGAGCCAACAACATGGATTGTCTGCTCTGCTCTGTGCAGCAGACAAGCGCCAGAGCCAACGACATGGATTGTGTGCTCTGCTCTTTGCAGCTGACAAGCGCTAGAGCCAACAGCATGGATTGTCTGCTCTGCTCTGTACAGCTGACAAGCGCCAGAGCCAACAGCATGGATTGTCTGCTCTGCTCTGTGCAGCAGACAAGCGCCAGAGCCAACAACATCGATTGTCTGCTCTGCTCTGTACAGCAGACAAGCGCCAGAGCCAACAACATGGATTGTCTTCTCTGCTCTACACAGCAGACAAGCGCCAGAGCCAACAACATGGATTGTCTGCTCTGCTCTGTACAGCAGACAAGCGCCAGAGCCAACAACATGGATTGTCTGCTCTGCTCTGTACAGCAGACAAGCGCCAGAGCCAACAACATGGATTGTCTGCTCTGCTCTGTACAGCAGAAAAGCGCCAGAGCCAACAACATGGATTGTCTGCTCTGCTCTGTGCAGCAGACAAGCGCCAAAGCCAACAACATGGATTGTATGCTCTGCTCTTTGCAGCAGACAAGCGCCAGAGCCAACAAAATGCATTGTATGCTCTGCTCTGTGCAGCAGACAAGCGCCAGAGCCAACAACATGGATTGTCTGCTCTGCTCTGTACAGCAGACAAGCGCCAGAGCCAACAACATGGATTGTCGGCTCTGCTCTGTGCAGCAGACAAGCGCCAGAGCCAACAACATGGATTGTCTGCTCTGCTCTGTGCAGCAGACAAGCGCCAGAGCCAACAACATGGATTGTCTGCTCTGCTCTGTACAGCAGACAAGCGCCAGAGCCAACAACATGGAGTGTCTGCTCTGCTCTGTGCAGCAGACAAGCGCAAGAGCCAACAACATGGACTATCTGCTCTGCTCTGTGCAACTGACAAGCGCCAGAGCCAACAACATGGATTGTCTGCTCTACTTTGTGCAGCAGACAAGCGCCAGAGCCAACAACATGGATTGTCTGCTCTGTTCTGTGCAGCAGACAAGCGCCAGAGCCAACAACATGGATTGTCTGCTCTGCTCTGTGCAGCAGACAAGCGCCAGAGCCAACAACATGGATTGTCTGCTCTGCTCTGTGCAGCAGACAAGCGCCAGAGCCAACAACATGGATTGTCTGCTCTGCTCTGTGCAGCAGACAAGCGCCAGAGACAGCAACATGGATTGTCTGTTCTGCTCTGTGCAGCAGACAAGCGCCAGAGCCAACAACATGGATTGTCAGCTCTGCTCTGTACAGCAGACAAGCGCCAGAGCCAACAACATGGATTGTCTGCTCTGCTCTGTGCAGCAGACAAGCGCCAGAGCCAACGACATGGATTGTCTGCTCTGCTCTGTGCAGCAGACAAGCGCAAGAGCCAACAACATGGACTATCTGCTCTCCTCTGTGCAGCTGACAAGCGCCAGAGCCAACAACATGGATTGTCTGCTCTGCTTTGTGCAGCAGACAAGCGCCAGAGCCAACAACATGGATTGTCAGCTCTGTTCTGTGCAGCAGACAAGCGCCAGAGCCAACAACATGGATTGTCTGCTCTGCTCTGTGCAGCAGACAAGCGCCAGAGCCAACAACATGGATTGTCTGCTCTGCTCTGTGCAGCAGACAAGCGCCAGAGCCAACAACATGGATTGTCTGCTCTGCTCTGTGCAGCAGACAAGCGCCAGAGCCAACAACATGGATTGTCTGTTCTGCTCTGTGCAGCAGACAAGCGCCAGAGCCAACAACATGGATTGTCAGCTCTGCTCTGTACAGCAGACAAGCGCCAGAGCCAACAACATGGATTGTCTGCTCTGCTCTGTGCAGCAGACAAGCGCCAGAGCCAACAACATGGATTGTCTGCTCTGCTCTGTGCAGCAGACAAGCGCCAGAGCCAACAACATGGATTGTCTGCTCTGCTCTGTACAGCAGACAAGCGCCAGAGCCAACAACATGGATTGTCTGCTCTGCTCTGTATAGCAGACAAGCGCCAGAGCCAACAACATGGATTGTCTGCTCTGCTCTGTACAGCAGACAAGCGCCAGAGCCAACAACATGGATTGTCTGCTCTGCTCTGTACAGCAGACAAGCGCCAGAGCCAACAACATGGATTGTCTGCTCTGCTCTGTATAGCAGACAAGCGCCAGAGCCAACAACATGGATTGTCTGCTCTGCTCTGTGCAGCTGACAAGCGCCAGAGCCAACAACATGGATTGTCTGCTCTGCTCTGTGCAGCAGACAAGCGCCAGAGCCAACAACATGGATTGTCTGCTCTGCTCTGTACAGCAGACAAGCGCCAGAGCCAACAACATGGATTGTCTGCTCTGCTCTGTACAGCAGACAAGCGCCAGAGCCAACAACATGGATTGTCTGCTCTGCTCTGAATAGCAGACAAGCGCCAGAGCCAACAACATGGATTGTCTGCTCTGCTCTGTGCAGCAGACAAGCGCCAGAGCCAACAACATGGATTGTCTGCTCTGCTCTGTGCAGCAGACAAGCGCCAGAGCCAACAACATGGATTGCCTGCTCTGCTCTGTGCAGCAGACAAGCGCCAGAGCCAACAACATGGATTGTCTGCTCTGCTCTGTACAGCAGACAAGCGCCAGAGCCAACAACATGGATTGTCTGCTCTGCTCTGTGCAGCAGACAAGCGCCAGAGCCAACAACATGGATTATTTGCTCTGCTCTGTACAGCTGACAAGCGCCAGAGCCAACAACATGGAGTGTCTGCTCTGCTCTGTGCAGCTGACAAGCGCCAGAGCCAACAACATGGATTGTCTGCTCTGCTCTGTGCAGCAGACAAGCGCCAGAGCCAACAACATGGATTGTCTGCTCTTCTCTGTGCAGCAGACAAGCGCCAGAGCCAACAACATAGATTGTCTGCTCTGCTCTGTGCAGCAGACAAGCGCCAGAGCCAACAACATGGATTTTCTGCTCTGCTCTGTGCAGCAGACAAGCGCCAGAGCCAACAACATGGATTGTCTGCTCTGCTCTGTACAGCAGACAAGCGCCAGAGCCAACAACATGGATTGTCTGCTCTGCTCTGTGCAGCAGACAAGCGCCAGAGCCAACAACATGGATTGTCTGCTCTGCTCTGTGCAGCAGACAAGCGCCAGAGCCAACAACATGGATTGCCTGCTCTGCTCTGTGCAGCAGACAAGGGCCAGAGCCAACAACATGGATTGTCTGCTCTGCTCTGTACAGCAGACAAGCGCCAGAGCCAACAACATGGATTGTCTGCTCTGCTCTGTGCAGCAGACAATCGCAAGAGCCAACAACATGGATTATCTGCTCTGCTCTGTACAGCTGACAAGCGCCAGAGCCAACAACTTGGAGTGTCTGCTCTGCTCTGTGCAGCTTACAAGCGCCAGAGCCAACAACATGGATTGTCTGCTCTGCTCTGTGCAGCAGACAAGCGCCAGAGCCAACAACATGGAGTGTCTGCTCTGCTCTGTGCAGCAGACAAGCGCAAGAGCCAACAACATGGATTATCTGCTCTGCTCTGTGCAGCTGACAAGCGCCAGAGCCAACAACATGGATTGTCTGCTCTGCTTTGTGCAGCAGACAAGCGCCAGAGCCAACAACATGGATTGTCTGCTCTGCTCTGTGCAGCAGACAAGCGCCAGAGCCAACAATATGGATTGTCTGCTCTGCTCTGTGCAGCAGAGAAGCGCCAGAGCCAACAACATGGATTGTCTGCTCTGCTCTGTGCAGCAGACAAGCGCCAGAGCCAACAACATGGATTGTCTGCTCTGCTCTGTGCAGCAGACAAGCGCCAGAGCCAACAACATGGATTGTCTGCTCTGCTCTGTGCAGCAGACAAGCGCCAGAGCCAACAACATGGATTGTCAGCTCTGCTCTGTGCAGCAGACAAGCGCCAGAGCCAACAACATGGATTGTCTGCTCTGCTCTGTGCAGCAGACAAGCGCCAGAGCCAACGACATGGATTGTCTGCTCTGCTCTGTGCAGCAGACAAGCGCCAGAGCCAACAACATGGATTGTCTGATCTACTCTGTGCAGCAGACAAGCGCCAGAGCCAACGACATGGATTATGTGCTCTGCTCTTTGCAGCTGACAAGCGCTAGAGCCAACAGCATGGATTGTCTGCTCTGCTCTGTACAGCTGACAAGCGCCAGAGCCAACAGCATGGATTGTCTGCTCTGCTCTGTGCAGCAGACAAGCGCCAGAGCCAACAGCATGGATTGTCTGCTCTGCTCTGTGCAGCAGACAAGCGCCAGAGCCAACAACATGGATTGTCTGCTCTGCTCTGTACAGCAGACAAGCGCCAGAGCCAACAACATGGATTGTCTGCTCTGCTCTGTACAGCAGACAAGCGCCAGAGCCAACAACATGGATTGTCTGCTCTGCTCTGTATAGCAGACAAGCGCCAGAGCCAACAACATGGATATTCTGCTCTGCTCTGTGCAGCAGACAAGCGCCAGAGCCAACAACATGGATTGTCTGCTCTGCTCTGTGCAGCAGACAAGCGCCAGAGCCAACAACATGGATTGTCTGCTCTGCTCTGTACAGCAGACAAGCGCCAGAGCCAACAACATGGATTGTCTGCTCTGCTCTGTGCAGCAGACAAGCGCCAGAGCCAACAACATGGATTGTGTGCTGTGCTCTTTGCAGCTGACAAGCGCCAGAGCCGACGACATGGATTGTCTGCTCTGCTCTGTACAGCTGACAAGCGCCAGAGCCAACAGCATGGATTGTCTGCTCTGCTCTGTGCAGCAGACAAGCGCCAGAGCCAACAACATGGACTGTCTGCTCTGCTCTGTACAGCAGACAAGCGCCAGAGCCAACAACATGGATTGTCTGCTCTGCTCTGTACAGCAGACAAGCGCCAGAGCCAACAACATGGATTGTCTGCTCTGCTCTGTATAGCAGACAAGCGCCAGAGCCAACAACATAGATTGTCTGCTCTGCTCTGTGCAGCAGACAAGCGCCAGAGCCAACAACATGGATTGTCTGCTCTGCTCTGTGCAGCAGACAAGCGCCAGAGCCAACAACATGGATTGTCTGCTCTGCTCTGTACAGCAGACAAGCGCCAGAGCCAACAACATGGATTGTCTGCTCTGCTCTGTGCAGCAGACAAGCGCCAGAGCCAACAACATGGATTGTCTGCTCTGCTCTGTGCAGCAGACAAGCGCCAGAGCCAACAACAAGGATTGTCTGCTCTGCTCTGTACAGCAGACAAGCGCCAGAGCCAACAACATGGATTGTCTGCTCTGCTCTGTGCAGCAGACAAGCTCCAGAGCCAACAACATGGATTGTCTACTCTGCTCTGTACAGCAGACAAGCGCCAAAGCCAACAACATGGATTGTCTGCTCTGCTCTGTGCAGCAGCTCTGCTCTGTACAGCAGACAAGCGCCAGAGCCAACAACATGGATTGTCTGCTCTGCTCTGTACAGCAGACAAGCGCCAGAGCCAACAACATGGATTGTCTGCTCTGCTCTATACAGCAGACAAGCGCCAGAGCCAACAACATGGATTGTCTGCTCTGCTCTGTACAGCAGACAAGCGCCAGAGCCAACAACATGGATTGTCTGCTCTACTCTGTGCAGCAGACAAGCGCCAGAGCCAACAACATGGATTGTCTGCTCTGCTCTGTACAGCAGACAAGCGCCAGAGCCAACAACATGGATTGTCTGCTCTGCTTTGTGCAGCAGACAAGCGCCATAGCCAACAACATGGATTGTCTGCTCTGCTCTGTACAGCAGACAAGCGCCAGAGCCAACAACATGGATTGTCTGCTCTGCACTGTATAGCAGACAAGCGCCAGAGCCAACAACATAGATTGTCTGCTCTGCTCTGTGCAGCAGACAAGCGCCAGAGCCAACAACATGGATTGTCTGCTCTGCTCTGTGCAGCAGACAAGCGCCAGAGCCAACAACATGGATTGTCTGCTCTGCTCTGTACAGCAGACAAGCGCCAGAGCCAGCAACATGGATTGTCTGCTCTGCTCTGTGCAGCAGACAAGCGCCAGAGCCAACAACATGGATTGTCTGCTCTGCTCTGTGCAGCAGACAAGCGCCGGAGCCAACAACATGGATTGTCTGCTCTGCTCTGTACAGCAGACAAGCGCCAGAGCCAACAACATGGATTGTCTGCTCTGCTCTGTGCAGCAGACAAGCGCCAGAGCCAACAACATGGATTGTCTACTCTGCTCTGTACAGCAGACAAGCGCCAGAGCCAACAACATGGATTCTCTGCTCTGCTCTGTGCAGCAGCTCTGCTCTGTACAGCAGACAAGCGCCAGAGCCAACAACATGGATTGTCTGCTCTGCTCTGTACAGCAGACAAGCGCCAGAGCAAACAACATGGATTGTCTGCTCTGCTCTATACAGCAGACAAGCGCCAGAGCCAACAACATGGATTGTCTGCTCTGCTGTGTACAGCAGACAAGCGCCAAAGCCAACAACATGGATTGTCTGCTCTGCTCTGTGCAGCAGACAAGCGCCAGAGCCAACAACATGGATTGTCTGCTCTGCTCTGTACAGCAGACAAGCGCCAGAGCCAACAACATGGATTGTCTGCTCTGCTCTGTACAGCAGACAAGCGCCAGAGCCAACAACATGGATTGTCTGCTCTGCTCTGTATAGCAGACAAGCGCCAGAGCCAACAACATGGATTGTCTGCTCTGCTCTGTGCAGCAGACAAGCGCCAGAGCCAACAACATGGATTGTCTGCTCTGCTCTGTACAGCAGACAAGCGCCAGAGCCAACAACATGGATTGTCTGCTCTGCTCTGTACAGCAGACAAGCGCCAGAGCCAACAACATGGATTGTCTGCTCTGCTCTGTATAGCAGACAAGCGCCAGAGCCAACAACATGGATTGTCTGCTCTGCTCTGTACAGCAGACAAGCGCCAGAGCCAACAACATGGATTGTCTGCTCTGCTCTGTATAGCAGACAAGCGCCAGAGCCAACAACATGGATTGTCTGCTCTGCTCTGTACAGCAGACAAGCGCCAGAGCCAACAACATGGATTGTCTGCTCTGCTCTGTGCAGCAGACAAGCGCCAGAACCAACAACATGGATTGTCTGCTCTGCTCTGTACAGCAGACAAGCGCCAGAGCCAACAACATGGATTGTCTGCTCTGCTCTGTGCAGCAGACAAGCGCCAGAGCCAACAACATGGATTGTCTGCTCTGCTCTGTACAGCAGACAAGCGCCAGAGCCAACAACATGGATTGTCTGCTCTGCTCTGTGCAGCAGCTCTGCTCTGTACAGCAGACAAGCGCCAGAGCCAACAACATGGATTGTCTGCTCTGCTCTGTACAGCAGACAAGCGCCAGAGCCAACAACATGGATTGTCTGCTCTGCTCTGTATAGCAGACAAGCGCCAGAGCCAACAACATAGATTGTCTGCTCTGCTCTGTGCAGCAGACAAGCGCCAGAGCCAACAACATGGATTGTCTGCTCTGCTCTGTGCAGCAGACAAGCGCCAGAGCCAACAACATGGATTGTCTGCTCTGCTCTGTACAGCAGACAAGCGCCAGAGCCAACAACATGGATTGTCTGCTCTGCTCTGTGCAGCAGACAAGCGCCAGAGCCAACAACATGGATTGTCTACTCTGCTCTGTACAGCAGACAAGCGCCAGAGCCAACAACATGGATTCTCTGCTCTGCTCTGTGCAGCAGCTCTGCTCTGTACAGCAGACAAGCGCCAGAGCCAACAACATGGATTGTCTGCTCTGCTCTGTACAGCAGACAAGCGCCAGAGCAAACAACATGGATTGTCTGCTCTGCTCTATACAGCAGACAAGCGCCAGAGCCAACAACATGGATTGTCTGCTCTGCTGTGTACAGCAGACAAGCGCCAAAGCCAACAACATGGATTGTCTGCTCTGCTCTGTGCAGCAGACAAGCGCCAGAGCCAACAACATGGATTGTCTGCTCTGCTCTGTACAGCAGACAAGCGCCAGAGCCAACAACATGGATTGTCTGCTCTGCTCTGTACAGCAGACAAGCGCCAGAGCCAACAACATGGATTGTCTGCTCTGCTCTGTATAGCAGACAAGCGCCAGAGCCAACAACATGGATTGTCTGCTCTGCTCTGTGCAGCAGACAAGCGCCAGAGCCAACAACATGGATTGTCTGCTCTGCTCTGTACAGCAGACAAGCGCCAGAGCCAACAACATGGATTGTCTGCTCTGCTCTGTACAGCAGACAAGCGCCAGAGCCAACAACATGGATTGTCTGCTCTGCTCTGTATAGCAGACAAGCGCCAGAGCCAACAACATGGATTGTCTGCTCTGCTCTGTACAGCAGACAAGCGCCAGAGCCAACAACATGGATTGTCTGCTCTGCTCTGTATAGCAGACAAGCGCCAGAGCCAACAACATGGATTGTCTGCTCTGCTCTGTACAGCAGACAAGCGCCAGAGCCAACAACATGGATTGTCTGCTCTGCTCTGTGCAGCAGACAAGCGCCAGAACCAACAACATGGATTGTCTGCTCTGCTCTGTACAGCAGACAAGCGCCAGAGCCAACAACATGGATTGTCTGCTCTGCTCTGTGCAGCAGACAAGCGCCAGAGCCAACAACATGGATTGTCTGCTCTGCTCTGTACAGCAGACAAGCGCCAGAGCCAACAACATGGATTGTCTGCTCTGCTCTGTGCAGCAGCTCTGCTCTGTACAGCAGACAAGCGCCAGAGCCAACAACATGGATTGTCTGCTCTGCTCTGTACAGCAGACAAGCGCCAGAGCCAACAACATGGATTGTCTGCTCTGCTCTGTATAGCAGACAAGCGCCAGAGCCAACAACATAGATTGTCTGCTCTGCTCTGTGCAGCAGACAAGCGCCAGAGCCAACAACATGGATTGTCTGCTCTGCTCTGTGCAGCAGACAAGCGCCAGAGCCAACAACATGGATTGTCTGCTCTGCTCTGTACAGCAGACAAGCGCCAGAGCCAACAACATGGATTGTCTGCTCTGCTCTGTGCAGCAGACAAGCGCCAGAGCCAACAACATGGATTGTCTGCTCTGCTCTGTGCAGCAGACAAGCGCCAGAGCCAACAACATGGATTGTCTGCTCTGCTCTGTATAGCAGACAAGCGCCAGAGCCAACAACATGGATTGTCTGCTCTGCTCTGTGCAGCAGACAAGCGCCAGAGCCAACAACATGGATTGTCTGCTCTGCTCTGTGCAGCAGACAAGCGCCAGAGCCAACAACATGGATTGTCTGCTCTGCTCTGTACAGCAGACAAGCGCCAGAGCCAACAACATGGATTGTCTGCTCTGCTCTGTGCAGCAGCTCTGCTCTGTACAGCAGACAAGCGCCAGAGCCAACAACATGGATTGTCTGCTCTGCTCTGTACAGCAGACAAGCGCCAGAGCCAACAACATGGATTGTCTGCTCTGCTCTATACAACAGACAAGCGCCAGAGCCAACAACATGGATTGTCTGCTCTGCTCTGTACAGCAGACAAGCGCCAGAGCCAACAACATGGATTGTCTGCTCTGCTCTGTATAGCAGACAAGCGCCAGAGCCAACGACATGGATTGTCTGCTCTGCTCTTTGCAGCTGACAAGCGGCAGAGCCAACGACATGGATTGTCTGCTCTGCTCTGTATAGCTGACAAGTGCCAGAGCCAACAACATGGATTGTCTGCTCTGCTCTGTGCAGCAGACAAGCGCCAGAGCCAACAACATGGATTGTCTGCTCTGCTCTGTACAGCAGACAAGCGCCAGAGCCAACAACATGGATTGTCTGCTCTGCTCTATACAGCAGACAAGCGCCAGAGCCAACAACATGGATTGTCTGCTCTGCTCTGTACAGCAGACAAGCGCCAGAGCCAACAACATGGATTGTCTGCTCTGCTCTCTGCAGCAGACAAGCGCCAGAGCCAACAACATGGATTGTCTGCTCTGCTCTTTGCAGCAGACAAGCGCCAGAGCCAGCAAAATGGACTGCCTGCTCTGCTCTGTGCAGCAGACAAGCGCCAGAGCCAACAACATGGATTGTCTGCTCTGCTCTGTACAGCAGACAAGCGCCAGAGCCAACAACATGGATTGTCTGCTCTGCTCTGTGCAGCAGACAAGCGCCAGAGCCAACAACATTGATTGTCTGCTCTGCTCTGTGCAGCTGACAAGCGCCAGAGCCAACAACATGGATTGTCTGCTCTGCTCTGTGCAGCAGACAAGCGCCAGAGCCAACAACATGGATTGTCTCCTCTGCTCTGTGCAGCAGACAAGCGCCAGAGCCAACAACATGGATTGTCTGCTCTGCTCTGTGCAGCAGACAAGCGCCAGAGCCAACGACATGGATTGTCTGCTCTGCTCTGTGCAGCAGACAAGCGCCAGAGCCAACAACATGGATTGTCTGCTCTGCTCTGTGTAGCAGACAAGCGCCAGAGCCAACGACATGGATTGTGTGCTCTGCTCTTTGCAGCTGACAAGCGCCAGAGCCAACAACATGGATTGTCTGCTCTGCTCTGTACAGCTGACAAGCGCCAGAGCCAACAGCATGGATTGTCTGCTCTGCTCTGTGCAGCAGACAAGCGCCAGAGCCAACAACATGGATTGTCTGCTCTGCTCTGTACAGCAGACAAGCGCCAGAGCCAACAACATGGATTGTCTGCTCTGCTCTGTACAGCAGACAAGCGCCAGAGCCAACAACATGGATTGTCTGCTCTGCTCTGTACAGCTGACAAGCGCCAGAGCCAACAGCATGGATTGTCTGCTCTGCTCTGTACAGCAGACAAGCGCCAGAGCCAACAACATAGATTGTCTGCTCTGCTCTGTGCAGCAGACAAGCGCCAGAGCCAACAACATGGATTGTCTGCTCTGCTCTGTGCAGCAGACAAGCGCCAGAGCCAACAACATGGATTGTCTGCTCTGCTCTGTACAGCAGACAAGCGCCAGAGCCAACAACATGGATTGTCTGCTCTGCTCTGTGCAGCAGACAAGCGCCAGAGCCAACAACATGGATTGTCAGCTCTGCTCTGTGCAGCAGACAAGCGCCAGAGCCAACAACATGGATTGTCTGCTCTGCTCTGTACAGCAGACAAGCGCCAGAGCCAACAACATGGATTGTCTGCTCTGCTCTGTGCAGCAGACAAGCGCCAGAGCCAACAACATGGATTGCGCGCTCTGCTCTTTGCAGCTGACAAGCGCCAGAGCCAACGACATGGATTGTCTGCTCTGCTCTGTGCAGCAGATAAGCGCCAGAGCCAACAGCATGGATTGTCTGCTCTGCTCTGTGCAGCAGACAAGCGCCAGAGCCAACAACATGGATTGTGTGCTCTGCTCTGTACAGCAGACAAGCGCCAGAGCCAACAGCATGGATTGTCTGCTCTGCTCTGTACAGCAGACAAGCGCCAGAGCCAACAACATGGATTGTCTGCTCTGCTCTGTACAGCTGACAAGCGCCAGAGCCAACAACATGGATTGTCTGCTCTGCTCTGTGCAGCAGACAAGCGCCAGAGCCAACAACATGGATTGTCTGCTCTGCTCTGTACAGCAGACAAGCACCAGAGCCAACAACATAGATTGTCTGCTCTGCTCTGTGCAGCAGACAAGCGCCAGAGCCAACAACATGGATTGTCTGCTCTGCTCTGTACAGCAGACAAGCGCCAGAGCCAACAACATGGATTGTCTGCTCTGCTCTGTACAGCAGACAAGCGCCAGAGCCAACAACATGGATTGTCTGCTCTGCTCTGTACAGCAGACAAGCGCCAGAGCCAACAACATAGATTGTCTGCTCTGCTCTGTGCAGCAGACAAGCGCCAGAGCCAACAACATGGATTTTCTGCTCTGCTCTGTGCAGCAGACAAGCGCCAGAGCCAACAACATGGATTGTCTGCTCTGCTCTGTGTAGCAGATAAGCGCCAGAGCCAACAACATGGATTGTCTGCTCTGCTCTGTGCAGCAGACAAGCGCCAGAGCCAACAACATGGATTGTCTGTTCTGCTCTGTGCAGCAGACAAGCGCCAGAGCCAACAACATGGATTGTCTGCTCTGCTCTGTATAGCAGACAAGCGCCAGAGCCAACAACATGGATTGTCTGCTCTGCTCTGTGCAGCAGACAAGCGCCAGAGCCAACAACATGGATTGTCTGCTCTGCTCTGTGCAGCAGACAAGCGCCAGAGCCAACAACATGGATTGTCTGCTCTGCTCTGTGCAGCAGACAAGCGCCTGAGCCAACAACATGGATTGTCTGCTCTGCTCTGTGCAGCAGACAAGCGCCAGAGCCAACAACATGGATTGTCTGCTCTGCTCTGTGCAGCAGACAAGCGCCAGAGCCAACAACATGGATTGTCTGCTCTGCTCTGTGCAGCAGACAAGCGCCAGAGCCAACAACATGGATTGTCTGCTCTGCTCTGTACAGCAGACAAGCGCCAGAGCCAACAACATGGATTGTCTGCTCTGCTCTGTGCAGCAGACAAGCGCCAGAGCCAACAACATGGATTGTCTGCTCTGCTCTGTGCAGTAGACAAGCGCCAGAGCCAGCGACATGGATTGTCTGCTCTGCTCTGTGCAGCTGACAAGCACTAGAGCCAACGACATGGATTGTCTGCTCTGCTCTGTACAGCTGACAAGCGCCAGAGCCAACAGCATGGATTGTCTGCTCTGCTCTGTGCAGCAGACAAGCGCCAGAGCCAACAACATGGATTGTCTGCTCTACTCTGTACAGCAGACAAGCGCCAGAGCCGCCACCACCACCACCGCCGCCACCCCCCCTGCTGCCGCTGCTGCCAAGGGTTAGGTCTCCGGTGTTGGTGCTGTCACCATTGCCCGTGGTGTAACTGCTGAAGTCCGCATTGCTGGTAACTCTGGGGTCCGTGCTTTGGCTATTAGTGCCGCTAGGAGGAAAGATGGTGGGATCGGTATAGGTTTCCCAGCCGAAGGAGCCTGCTTGGTTGAGGGAGACGAGGAAGAGCGAGCAGAGGACGAGGAGGAGGAGGAGGAACGGCAGCGCGAGGAGCGCGAGAGGCGACGCGGAGTGCTTTTCTGCCACGTGCCACCGCCACGCGCGGCCGCCGCCGCCGCCGCTGCTGTGTGGCAAACCAACCCATCATTTGATGATGACGTGGCGCCACGGAACCTCGAGATGCGCCGTCGCCAGCATGTGTCGCCACGCGCTGTGCGACGCGAGCATGGCGGCGGCGTCCCTGCGATCATGATCGTCGCCGTCGTTGCCTGCGCCCATGACGGTTGAATGATGCGATTTCGGCAGCGCGAATGGTGGCGTGTGACAAAGGTACTAGCGGCGAATCTCCATCATGGCCGCGCGGGACGGGCTATTAGCGAAATCCGCCGGGTCCGCGAAACGAAGGACGAATTAAGCTTGGCTGGCGGAAACGCAGCAGGCGGAGAGGTCGCGGAAGGCGGAGAGGCTGCGGAAGGAGGAGATGCTGCGGAAGGCGGAGAGGCTGCGGAAGGCGGAGAGACTGTGGAAGTCGGAGAGGTTGTGGAAGGCGGAGGCTGCGGAAGGCGGAGGGGCTGCGGAAGGCGAAACGGCTGTGGAAGGCGGAGGCTGCGGAAGGCGGAGAGGTTGTGGAAGGCGGAGAGGTTGCGGAAGGCGGAGAGGCTGCGGAAATTTCGCAAAAAGTTAACGCCGCGGAGAGGCGGTGCTACTACTCCGACTAACACGCGGCACGATCGTGGCGAGGACTCCGAGTCGCGTTTATTACTTCTAGTGCGGAGCGGTAATGGAAAACATGGCGGCATGTAGAATATGGAAATTCTGATTGCTGCGACACTGGGTACCGATGTGACACGGCATGTGACCTTCATCCAGAGCAGGGACTGCCAGTCCCACACGACGAAACAGGGAGCATGCACTAACGTTTGCCCCACTAATATCGGACAATAACGGACGGTCAACAACCTTCGTCAGTCTTCTACGAATTTCAGTGGCGACAGAGTTACTGTCGCGGTTGAGCGACCAACGCCTTGTTCAAACGGATGTTCCACGCTCTAACGGACGGACGCCGGCGGTCCGTTTGCCTCAGCAATATCGGACAAAAACGGACGGACAACGGCGAATGCTCGGAAAGATGCTTCTAAGCCTGACACGTGTTAATTTGCGGTTCGATGATAAGTGCGGGAAAGGGATTATTGTTCGCGATTAGCACACGAGATTCACTAATGTCCTTTGCTCAAAGGCCTCTACAACGTTATATGTAGGTTTCTAGAATGTTTTGTAAGTTCATTTTGAAGTCGGGTTTATAGAAATTGTTGCGAATATGTTTTTACGTAATGTTTCACTGTACTGCACTGTTCGAAGTGCAGAAGCGAAGCCCTCAATGTCGAGGGTGTTGACTGGACTATCGAGACAGGGGCGCAACCGCGTACAGTGGTTGCGACCCTCGTGGCAGCTGAAGAGTCGCGATATACAGGAGGCAACGTCTACAGTACGCGAAATTTCCCTGGGGGCGCGGCAGAATACCGCGCCCTTGCCGAAGCTGAAGGGTCTCGCCAGTAACTGGGCAACTGAAACGTTACAGCGCAACTGTAATAAAGTTGCGCCTTGGTAACTGCCTGCCTGCTATGTTTCCTATATAACTCAATGTACTGCCATGCTATTATTACACAGTTCTCAAGCTTGTGTCCGGCCAACCCTCGGCCGCCACTTTGGCACCAAGTTACAAGCAAGGAGAGCTACCTCTGAGTGACCATTGCCCCGCCGTAGGGACGTCGTTAATTCCTAGAGTATTTCCGCTACTCTAGCGACCTCCAAATTTCAACAGAAATTAACGCTTTTGTTGCAATATGTATAATAATAATAGTAACCCTAACTGGCGAGATAGTAGTTGGAGCTAACCCTAACTGGCGATAGTAGCTGGAACCAACCAACCCTAAACTACTATCCCAAACCAATCCAGCACTTACGGGCCGTATCGAGGCCCCTGTTTTTCCATGCGACCGTCGCGTTTTTGCCGCGTTCATCGCGGCGCGATGGAGCGCCGCGCCGCAGCCCTAGTACACCTCTGCGCGCTACTCCTGGTGACGTGTCTCGGGGTCGCGCAAGTCGACTACGTTCCCTTTGCCGACTCCCAGGGTGCGTGCTTCGCTCAATACGCATCTTCTTACCGGTACTAGCGTGCCTCGCTTCTAGAAGTTTCACTTGCTCCGTGTCGCTTTTTCCGCTGGGAGCTCGGATGCTAATAGGGGTGTGCGCTGTAGCAGGGCGGGACGAGAAATTACTTAGTAATGGTCTGAAGTACAGCCTTTGGGCACTCTGTAGACCGGAAGAGGCACATTCTTGGGCGTGAAGTGGGGATGTTGCGGCCGGGCCGCTTTTTGAGTCGACTCAGAATTCGAGTTATCACACAAGAGGCACATTCTTAGGCGTGAAGTGGGGATGTTGCGTTTGAGTCGACTCAAAATTCGAGTTATCACACAAGAGGCGCATTCTTAGGCGTGAAGTGGGGATGTTTCGGCCACAGCCGCTTTTTGAGTCGACTCAGAATTCGAGTTATCACACGAGGCACATTCTTATGCGTGAAATGGGGATGTTGCGGCCGGGCGGGCGAGTAGGATGGTTGAGTTGATGATGCGAGTGTGAGTGGGGAGCAGAGGTGAGCAGGTGCGAGAGGAGGTAGGAGATCTCTGCTAGACTCCTAGCTGCTCCCTGCCCGTCCCCGTGTTTCCCGCGCTGCTCCCTGCCCCTCCCTGCTCCGTGCCCCTCCCCTTGTCTTTTCTCCAGGAACTGGTACCACGTGGAGTGCATGTAATGAGGCAAGGTGGAACCATCCAATTCCTTCTTTCCAATCCACGTGGAAGGCGTGTCCTCTCATTTCTACACACCTTTTTTCTCATTCTCTCACTCGCTGCTCTTCTCTCCTCTCCTCTCGCTGACCCCCCTCCCTTCCCTCCTCTCCTCCCTGCCGCCAGCGCAATTCCTGCTGGACTGTCAGAAGGCGTGGGCCACAACGTTTGACGGCTGGGTGGTTGGTGGGGACTGCAGCAAGGCAAGCGGCGTCACGTGCAATGCCCAGGGCATGATAACGGGGATGTGAGTGAGATGCTCATGGACCCCCCCATGGGGAGTACAGCAAGGCAAGCAGCGTCACGTGCAATGCCCAGGGCATGATAACGGGGATGTGAGTCGACCCTCATGGGCCCAGGTGGCCTCATTGGCTCGGCCCTCATGGGCCCAGGTGGCCTCTGATGCCTCTGATCAGAAATGAGCACGGGCCGGGCCGGGCCCTGCCTGGGTCGGGCCCTGCCCAGGGCATGATAACGGGGATGTGAGTGGTCCTCATGGACCCAGGTGGCCTCATCGACCCTCATGGGCCCAGGTGGCCTCTGATGCTTCTTATCAAGAATGAATGAGCACGGGCCGGGCCGGGCCCTTCCCGGGTCGGCCCACGCCGGGCCCTGCAAAAATCCGGGCCAGCCCGGCCTGCCACGGGCCGGAACCAAAAATCTGAGGCCCGCCACGGGCCGGAACCCAAAATTTGAGGCCCGCCACGGGCCAGCCCTGCCCGTCACGGGCCGGAACCCAAAACCTGAGGCCCGGCACGGGGCAATTCCGGGCCGGGCCCAGCCCAGATTTTTGCTCATCCCTACTTCTGATGTACGGGAAGGGCGGGGATCGCAATGCTTCAGGCAGCGTGAGCCAAGCTCTGTGATTGAGGTGCGAAAAACCATAAAGGTGGGCCCACATGGACCCTGAAGCGTGTAAAGAGCCATGGGAGTGGACCACGGCTCCTCCTTTGCTCTTCGCCCCCTCAACACTTCTCCCTTCCCTCCTTCCCTTAAAAAGAAAGAATGGAGCAGCAAGTCACTACCTGCCTGCTATCGCGAATCGTTCCCCCAAACTCCCCAGGAATCCCCCCCTCCCCCCCACCCCATACGTCCACCCCAATTTCCAATGCCTCCCCTCCACGCCCCCTTACTTCCATCCCCACCTTTCAATGCCTTTCCTGTTATACATGGGCAAACGAGTCGAGTTATTCCTCGACTCGTTCGAGGGACTCGAAAAGCTCGAGTTTTGAGTTTGCTTTTTTGTAGAAAAAACTCGGTTGCTCGAGTCGAGTTTTGCTCGCGAGTTAAAAAATACTCGTGAAAAACTCGGCTACCAAGCAAGTTTTTTCAAAACTCGCGAGTTTCTGGGGCTCGTGAGCATTTCGCCACCAGATCCGCCCGCACCTAGCATTCCGCCACCAGATCCGCCCGCACCTAGCATTCCGCCGCTAGATCCGCCCGCACCTAGCATTCCGCCGCTAGATCCGCCCGCACCTAGCATTCCGCCGCTAGATCTGCCCGCACCTAGCATTCCGCCGCTAGATCCGCCCGCACCTAGCATTCCGCCGCTAGATCCGCCCGCACCTAGCATTCCGCCGCTAGATCCGCCCGCACCTAGCATTCCGCCGCTAGATCCGCCCGCACCTAGCATTCCGCCGCTAGATCCGCCCGCACCTAGCATTCCGCCGCTAGATCCGCCCGCGCCTAGCATTCCGCCGCCTGATCCGCACGGCATTTCATTTCACTAAGCTGGTTTCGTGGGGTGGTGAGTAAGGGGGGTGTTTAACAACGAGTCGAGTTTTACTTGACTCAAACGAGTTTTCTTTGAACTCGTCCGAGTGTTGAAAAAACTCGGTAAAATAGTCGAGTTTCGAGTTCGCTTTGTGGCACAAAAAACTCGTCAAAACGAGTCAAGTAAAACTCGACTCGTCTTTTGCCCATGCATATTTCCTGTATCCATCGTTCTTTCCTCTCTCTCTCTCCCCGCTTCCCTCACTCCTCTTGCTCCTCTTCCCTCACCCCTCCCTCTCCCTTCCCCGTTCTGCTGCTACTCTACCACATGTTTCTGGGAACACTCCTTCAGCCTGCTAAGGCGATGTCTGTGAAATTTTGAACAATGCTTTTGAAACTGTATTTATGGATGTTCTCTTCGACCCACCTTCTCGATGTTCCTCTGTGTCCTAAGCCATATGGTGTGCTTTTTATGCTGTAAATATGCAGCATATTCATGTCACATGGCCGCATGCATCATAGGTGACATGCATGCGCGCAGCACACGGCCCATGGCACATCACATGCATGCTACAAGCACGCATGCCGCCGCACACGCATGCCACATGCATGCCACACCCATGCCACATGCATGCCACACCCATGCCACATGCATGCCACACCCACCCATGTGACATGCATGCCATGTCTCACCGATTCCACATGCATGATCCTCCCGTTATTACCAGTGCAACTAGTCTCTCCTCCATTTCAATGTCCGCTCATCTGAATTATCACTGGCAGAAAATTGAATGGGCCCATCCCTAGCTCTATCATCAACCTCCAAAGCCTTGACTACTTGTGAGTGCTCCTCCTCCCTCGGTAGACATGTGATGTGAGGCACTCACACCGAGCTATGTTGGATCGGACGCCCATAAGGTGGCTCGTTCAGCTTCCGGATGTTAGCGCGTCCGATCCGATCCAATATAGCTTGTGAGGGCCGTGCCTCCTTTGCCTGGGTTGTTTCTGGTTCCGAGACACAAGAAATCAGAAAAGATGTTGCCCTTTTTACCCTTTGAACCATGATGTTGTTTCATTCAAAGTCTCACGCTGCTGCTGACAAGATCGTTTCTCAGCCTTCAGTCTCTCCTTCCCTACAACCCTCCTTCCTTTCTCGAATGCAGGAATGTATGGAAACTTATTGGCCCAATACAGCCGGCTATTGGCAACCTTCCCAACCCGACCGGCTTGTGAGTTTCTCCACCAAAATGGCTTCACGGGCTTCACAGGCTCACATCAATTCTCCACTATCCGAACAACACTCCAACTCGAGATGTAACCTCACTGGCCCGATACCATCGACTATTGGCATGGCAACCTTCCCAAACTAACCTACTTGTGAGTTTCTCCACCAGAAAGGCTTCACAGGCTTCACAGGCTCACATCAATTCTCCACCATCCTAACAACACTCGTTCTCTGCAACTTCAGAAGGATTTATTTTCTCTAAGTAGAAAAAAACTCCTTGAGCCACGCCTTGAGAACTGAGCCAAGGGAATGCGATTACGTGCCGGGGTATTGGTATTCAGGGCCTCATACCTTGTCAGCTGCAGCATGCATGGCTTGCCACTTGCCGCATGGCCTGCAAGCTAGGCAAGGCAACGGTTGCTCTTCTTGAGCCCGCAATCTAATTCCAAGCTCATGGCTCACAGGCCTCTCTAGGATGTCTGTTTGTCTTCCTGTATGCCTCTTGTGTGCCAACAGCATGTTGGTCTCAAGATTATCAGGCTAGACCCATGCCAAAGAGCAAGGGAAGTTTACTCTCCTTGTTTTCTACCCATGTCTACCATAGTTTGCTCTGACTGCGAGCCATTTTGCTGGCTGATCTCAGCTGTTCTCAGCTGATTCCAGGTGACCAGCCATAAAAGGGTACAACAATCCAATCCGTGAAATCCAATCGAGTCGAGTCGACTTGGCGTGGCCTGGGTTATTGTCTGGGCATTGAGTGGAAACTGACTTGAGTCAAATCATGTTTGACTCAGTTCACGCTGATACCTAATCTAAGCTGGCTGTACTGCGTTGTGTAGTACAGGATAGCAACACAACAAGCAAATGCACATGGCCCGGGTGAAACTTGAGATGGTCCAATTCGGCGATAGTTCTTGGATGGCGTATAGCTGAAATAAAAACTCACAGAAGTAAGACGGTTCTGAGATCATTCCTTGCTTGCTCCTCATGTGTTGCGCCAGTTCACTTGCTCTGTATGCATGCACCCCATGTTCATTCGCTCATTAGGGTATTGAATTACAACAGCCTGAGCGACTCCATCCCTGCATTCTTCGGCAATCTCAGAGGCATCATACGCTTGTTAGTGCTGTTCCTCGTTAGCTTGACATGTGTGTGGTGTGTGAGTAGTGTTCCTCATTCATCAATATCATAGCTGATCCTCGTTCGATTAACATGTGCGTAGTGTTTCAACGTTTGAGCTCATAACGTTCGTGAGGTTCCTTGTTTCATTCGCATGCGAGTGCTGGGCTGTCTGTTTGGTTGACACGTGAGCCTCTCTCAGTCAGGCCCCGCACACTCGTACTTGATAAAGTTGTCAGAACTTAAGTTTAGAATCCATGTATTAGTAATGAGCTTGAAGCTCTTTAAGTACATTTAAGATGGGCAAGCAATGGATGGGGAGGGGAATCGGGCGCAATCTCTAGGGATTTGGGGTAATTGCAAAGCAATCTCTAATTTGTGGGTTGGAGATAGTTTGGAGATCACATTTGGGTTTGGTTAGGATGTAGGTGTACACCCAACTAAACACAAAGTGCAAATTACACTATGCTAGGATATAGAAAGTGCAAAATACAACCCCCCATAGACCTCAATCGAAGTTAGGGCAGAAAAGGTGGAGCACAGCGACCAATGGCGCCAAGAAGACGGTGGTGAGGAACTTTCCCAAGGGGCTTGGGAACAGGTCAGCCAAGTTGCAGTCAGATGCAACGTGCTCCACGTTCAGCTGCTCCCGCTGAACAAGGTCACGGATAAAGAAGTGCCGGAGTTCGATATGCTTGGTGCGAGTGTGACACACGGGGTCTTGGGAGAGGTGGATGGTGCTCTTGTTGTCACACCAGAGGGTGGGGGTGATCTGAGGGTAGCCAAGCTCCTGGAGGAGGAAGGTGAGCCAACGGGCCTCTTGAGCTGCCATGGTGCCAGCGTAGAGCTTTGCCTCACAGGACGAGAGGAGACTGCAGACGACCTGGTGGAGCGCCAGTTGACAATTCCGCTCCCAAGGGTGAAGCAGTAGCCCTGTGAGGAGCGTCGACCGGTCTGATCATCAGCCCAAGAAAAGTCAGTGTAACCTTCCAGTCGAGGAGGGGAAAGCCGACCAAGTGTGAGAACATGAGACTTAGTGCCTTGCAGATAACCCAGTACCCGGCAAGGTAGAAAAAAACGATTGTCGAAAAATACGATTGTTTTTTTCGATGGTTTTTAACGGTACCTTTTGGGAAAAAAACGGCGTTTTTTTGTTAGACAAAAAAAAACTGTTCAACTTCAAAGATGTTGTTCTGATCACAAAAGCACTTCTAACAATCTTCCGCTGCATCATCAGCACTTCTAACGGCCCCCTTGTTCTTCTCACCAATCAATCCCCTTGTTTCAGCAGCAATTTTGGTATTTTTACTGAAAATAACACAGGTTTTTTTGCACCAAAAGTTTTTACTTTCAAAAACCGTTGTTTATCGTTTTTTACGATCGTTTCTTACGATACGGTATTTTACTATCAAAATTCGAAAAAAACGTCGTTTTTTTGCACCTTGGTACCCGGTTTGCCGCCTTCCAATGAAGATTTGTGAAGCGTCCAGGGGCCACATAGCGAGAGAGGACACTGATAGGGTGTGTCAGTTCAGACCGGGTACACATTATGGCGTACATGAAGGACCCAAGAAGCTCCGGGTATGGCTCAGAGCAGGCCTCTGGTGTCGGTACAACTAAGGCTGTGAAGAGGTGTTGCAGTGGCAGCGGGGTGGCAACATGTGTGCACAACTCCATCTCAAACCGCTTGAGCACAGTGTTGATGTAGAATTCCTGCGAGAGCGAGATGGTGCGAGCCTGGCGATCATGAGTGATCTCCATCCCCAAGTAGTGCTTAAGGTCACCGAGGTCTTTCATCAAGAAAGCCTTGCTCATAGCCGCATGGACAGAGGTCATCTGGGTCGAGTCCTTGGCAACGAGGATGAAGTCATCGACGTAGACAAGGATGTAAAATGACACAGAGTGACGGCGAATGAAGAGAGTCGGGTCAGCAGATGATGGGTGAAAGTCCAATGAGAGGACTTCTTTCACTTTGTTGTGCCATTCACAAGGGGTCTGCTAGAGGCCGTAAACATGGCAATTTAGGTTCTAGACAATGTTGGGAGGGAACTCTCTTGGAAAGCCTTCAGGTCGATCCATGAACACTGTCTCCTTGAGGTGTCTTTGCAGGAAGGCCGATGAGGCGTCCATGGATTTGATCTCGAAGTCTTCTCGTGCGGCTATATCCAAGAGCATGCGAACGGTGGGTGGTTTGTATGTGGGAGAGAATGTCTTGAAGAAGTCAAAGTACTGCTGCTAAGTGAATCCCTTGGCCACATAGCGCGAAGCTGGCGTCCGGAAGCTGTTTTACTCGAAACAGCCACTTGCCCCCGACAATGTTAACTCATGGAGGTGGAGTTTCGTCGTCAAAGAGTAGTTGCAAGTGAAGGCTTCACACTCAGCTTCCATGGCAGCACGCCACTCAGCAGCATGGGGACCCGAGTTAGCTTCTTGGACGGTGAGAGAGATTAGGATGGTCGGGTTCTCCGAGAAGTTGAGTGAGGGTGATTCAGTGATATCGGGAAAGATGTGCGAGAGCCGGGGAATGACAGCGTGAAGATCACAAAGCTTCCATGCCTATTTTTTAGAAGGGTGGAGGGCACATCCCTCCAAGCAGGAGGAGTCGGAGTGATCACTGGGCATCGAATGACAAGTGCCAGTGGAGGAGCAGGCCCATGAGATTGAGTGCCATGAGCCACCGGAGAAGAGGATGGAGCGGGTGGTGCTGGAGGGATTGGTTTTGGAGGCTTGGGTGGAGGGATTGGCCGTTGCTGGTACGTGATCAGGTCGCTCGACTGTGGGAGAGCGGCTTCCTGAGTGGAAGAGGGAACGGGGGAAGGAGGTGGGGCTGGAGGGTTCGACCGCCGATGGTATGTGATTGGTGCGCTTGGTGGTGGGAGCGCACTTGGCAGGGAGTAATGCCCCGAGCTGAGCAAAACTCGGCTGAGTTTTATGGCCCAGGATCAAACGTGTCGCTCTTCGAAATGGGCAAGTTTCTCGGAAACCCATCCAAAATTTTACCCAAATTTGGGCGATTGCAAGTTAACTTTGTGGGTGGGGTGGGAAACGGGGGGTTCGGAGAACAAAGCTCCCAGTCGAAAAAGGAATGCGTAGGAGAGTACGTAGGGAGAGGGAGTACAATTCGTGTCTCTCTACTCAACTCCCCAGGAAGGGAGATCGTACTTCACCATCCCACAAAAATTGGTTAACAATACTGTTCCCAACCAATCCTCTTGTCCCCTCCCCCTCTTCCTTGGATTGCCGATCTTCTCCACACAGAATCGACAGAAAACCCAACCAATTCTAAATCTGAAAATTGGATGTTGGAGGTCAATTTCAGATCAACAGCTGGGTCATATGGGCGCTTGCTGACATCAACTGAGCCTTGAAATTAAGCTCAACTCATTCATAAGTGGACCATACTGCCGAACTTTCAAATCCTGGTCAACTTCTTCTACCCTCCATTTAGCTCACCCGCTAAGCCGAGCAGCACATCCCCTCCCCAAGAAGCAGACCCACCTAGCAGCAAACACACCTGTGTCATTCACGAAACAAAGACGTCCTTTTAACCTAGTCAGTAGCCGGGTACTCGAGTCGAGTACTTTGCTAAGGGAAAATTGGATTTGTGGTATTTGTAGAGTACACACCTCCAGGGTACGAGAGGCCGATGATGGGTTGATATTTCGGGCCTGTGCTACATATATACACATGTTGTGTGGAAACCTAGGTTTCGTGTACACTAAGAAATGCTAGGCATGAAATTGTGTATTGTATGCAATTTCGATTACACAAAATACCATATTTCTTCCGTTTTCGTTATAAATTCATCAGTCTTACATGTGTTAACTGTTCCCCTGGATGCTCAATACCCGCTCACATGCCTGTTTTCTTATTAGAGAACTTGCCCAAAGGAACCTGAATGGAACAATTCCCGACTTCATTTCTGGGATGTCAAACCTTCAAACTTTGTGAGTACTTGTCGTTCATGTTTTGACATGTAAGGTAACCACATCCCACATGCCCAATGCTGTGTTGGAAGCTGCCATGAGCTCTGTGCTGGTGTTGGTAGTAATTATAGTGCTGTGGTGGTTGTTTGTTTCCACTTTTAACGTACAAAAAAAGAGCGGAGTTGAACCAAAACAATCTTGTCTTGTATAAGTGCACTTGCCTCTAGGATGTGCATGCCAAACAAGCTCGTATCTACATCTCAATTCTTTCGTTTAAATGAACAACGTGCTTTGCCATGGCTTGTATCTTGTTTTTTTGTTTGTTTGTTTGTTTTTTTCCATACTACTGCAGAGCTCTACCTGGGAATAATTTGTCAGGATCACTACCAGACTGGATTGGAAGCCTTTCAGTTTTAACGACGCTGTGAGCCTTCTCTTGTGGAGTAGTTTTTAGTACTCTGATCTGATGTTGCCAAGGATGATCAGAAACTGGATGACTTTTGTTATTCTTGCACTCTCAATGAGTTAAATAGTCTCGTTGTGTTCAAGTAGAGAGTCTGACAGCCATGAACATCAAGAATTAAAAAAATCGCATTGATTTGATATTGATACATTTGGCTGGTTGGGGGTGCAACCCCAAATCTACCTAGAATCACTTACGCAGTGGAAACTAGCCAACTCCAACAACTCTTAGGCTAGGTGAAGCTATAAAGAGGGGCACAAAACGAACTAGAACACCTGGTTGAAATGGAGAGACGAGTGAGCACAAGCGCGCTGAAGTGGGAATGGTGTGCCAAAAGCATGTGGGGGGAAGTTCTGATGAAGAGACTGGGGACGAAAGTAGAGGTAGAAAAGCCAAGAGAGTGAAGAGCGGAGGAGAGTGTTGAAGGGTGGAAGCAGGGTAAAAAAAGAACCGGCCGTTTGATTGTTTGTTTTTTTTGTTGTTTGTTTTTTTCGTTCTTTCTGTAAAAACCAAAATCGTGAAAAAACGGTCATAAATAATAGTAAAGGAGGTGTTTTTGTTTGAAGGAAGAAACGGCTGTTTTGTGGGACCACGTTGATGGCAAAATTCAGGAGGATGAAGAGGACGAGCTCTTCCTTGCACATGTGTGGGGGGCATATGTGTGGGCATGGTTGAGGACAAGAGTTCTCTAACAGGAAAAACAACCGTTTTTTTGTGTTTTTTTTTTCTGGTTTTTTTTCTTTTATCACCATAAAAAACGGACAGTAATCACAGACAGTATGTTACAAAACCGTTTTTTTTAACCTTGGTTAAAGAACTCATCATCACCACTATCAGAATAGAAGTGCGCAACAAGATGCCCGAAGCAAAGGCAAGCTTGTTTAACCCAGCAAATGATGGGGAAGGGGGCGTCATATTTTGGCACGGAGAGGACAGGCAGAGGCGAAACACGAGTCGTCATAGATGAGAAGGAGAAAGTAGCGGTGATTCTGACTAAGGGCTGTGGAGGAAGGGCCCGAGAAGTCCGTATGCACGAGATCAAGCGGTTGAGCAGAGGTAGAGGGAGGAAGAAGGATGAAGAGATTGTTGTGAGAGTTTGGCTCAAACACAGTGAATGCATGGAGGAGCAAGTGAGGGGGGAAGGGGAGATCTCGAAGCAGCTTTGAAGTGACCATGCAGCAAAAGAGGGGGAAACTGGGTTGGAATAGAAGGTAGGTTGAGTAAAAGAACAACAATCGCAAGAAGATGGGAGGGGCGGAAGCAGAGAAACTGTGATGGACAGAACAGGGAAGGGCAACACGTGGGGTGTAACGGTGAGAGGTTGGGGAAACATCGAGGTGTCGTTCCTGGTGATGAAGATCACAGTAGAATTGGCTTGCATGGAGGCTCGCTCGTACACCAAGGTGTTGGAGGGAAGATAGGGAAAGTTGATTATGATGGCAGGAGGGAACATAGAGACCAGGCCAGTGACAGCGCCAGAAGGGGAAGCCGGGCAGGGAAGAAAGTAGGTGGTAGTGCAAGTCATTGTCATGGTTTCACCAGTCCTAGAGATGAGAATTTGCCCCACGCGGGTCAGGCCGGCCCGACCCGACCCATGGTTTAGCCCTGGTCGGGTCAGTGGTTTCACTTGCCTGCCCCGTGTGGGCCGACCCGACCCGATCCGGGCTAAAACCCGACCCGAGCATGGAACTCAGGCCGAGTTGGGTCGAATTTCAGGTCAGGCTTGACCCGACCCGAATTTGGGTCAGGATCGGGGAAGTCGGGTCGGGCTTTTGGCCCGATCCGATTTCAACAGTTTGGGGACAAAACCCCATGTCAAATTGTTGTCGAGGGGTTTTTTTATTCCCTCGACAATAGAACCTACCCACGCTGTCAATAGTGCCTAACGGCAGCAAGCAAGTCAACTAAGCTTAGAAACTACTTAGTTAGGGCCCGTTCAAATCTCATTAACAGACACATATAGGTAGTTTACTATCGTATCCTGCGGAAAAGCGCGATGCATGAATGGCGTTTTATTACAACTTCGCGTTCTTTTAGCGATACTTCAATTCACAGGCTGCACGCCTCGTTTTAGGCCAGCAGTTGGTCATAGGCGCGCCCGCAACTAACATTGCACCATTTCGTAGAGGTTCTTAGGGGCTGCGTGCAGGGTGTAGGGGCGGCCGCGGGCAAAGGTGCTGGCGCCAGGGTATGGGCGGGTCATCCTGGCCCGACCCGACCCAACCCATACCCGGGTCCAAGTTGACTCGAGTGTGTAGGCCCGGGTCGGGCCAGAACCTTCAGGACCCTGGCCCGAGCCCGGCCCAACCCGACCCGACCCGGGAGCCCGTGTGGCCCGGCCAGGTTGGTTCGGGTCGGGCCGGGCCGGGCTGGTTGCTCATCTGTAACCAGACCCATCAATGAAAAGAGGACGGAGAAAGGACAAAAGAACACCAGCATCACGATTGACAGAGTCAGTGTCAGCATTGTCAAGGACAGTGTCCATGGTGCGAGAGTGGGAACGAGTACCAGTGGTGGGACCAAAATACTGAAGGTCATTGCCATTAACAGTATGTGCAAACCACATGGCAAAACGAGGGCCCATGAGGGGAGAGGCCTGAGCACCGAAAACAGAGTTGACAGTGGCAAGAATGGCCTCAGCAAAGGACTAGCGAAGCTGATGTGAATGCTGAAGCCAGTTCGAAGGGCGGTTGGTGTTGCTAGCTAGAACCCAGTCACTCGTGAGCTTTTGCAAGCAGGGGGGGTGAGGGATGATTGGCGCGACCGCAAGGCTGGCCCTTGCGGGCGCCATAGCGAATGATGTAGGTGCAAGGAGGAAAGATGTTGCAAGGGCGGGAGGAGGCAGCAGTGGCAGTAGTGGGGGTGCAAAAGGGGGGCCGGAGAGAGGAGCGGCAACGGCAGCGGTAGGAGGACAGCTGCTCTTGTTAAGCTCTGCCCGTGGGAGGAAGGCAGAGACGAAATACCACTGGTCGGCTGGACGCTCACCGTAGAGTGAGACGTGGACACTATACCCATTGAGGTGTGTGAGACGGAGGGCGCCGCAGAGCTCAAACTTCTGAGCAGCAAGTTGATGATACAACTTGCCAAACTGTCTCTTCTCTCTGATAATTTGTTTCCTCTTTATGCATGGTTCGTGCTTCATTGTCAGGGATTTGTCGCTTGGTGGCAAAAAAATAAAATAAACATGTTCAGGTGTTTGCCCTTCTGCACCTGTCCAACAATGTATGCGGGTCTCACCCGACCCGAGCAGGTCATATGTTTCTGTCTAGGACACGATACAACTTGTCAAACTGTCTCTTTTTAACTGATGAATATCCCTCTTTACGTATGGTTCAATCTTCCTGTTTGTCAGGGCTTTACAGTACAATGACTTGACCGCATCCATTCCATCCACTATTGGACGCCTCAGCACTTTGAATTCCTTGTGAGTACTGTGCTGTGATTCTGGATTTGCGTGCCACCTCCCCTTCCAAACTTAAAGCTTTCCTTGTCGTTTGCATGCAAGCCACATCCAGGAGCGGCAGCTGCTTCGCCTGCTGTTGATAATTGACGCACGCAGTGTGGACTTGATGTGTTGGGGCGTATATAAGTTTGTGTCATAGACACTGTTTGGGTCATTCGAGATTCTTGGACGACCAATGAGGCGCATTTCAGTTACACTGTTGGAATACCATTGGTTCTCGGATGATCCAAAGTGCTTCTATGAGACAAGGTGAGCTTCTATGACACAAACTCCCTTATTCATGAATGAATGATTTGACCTTCTTGAAGTGCGCTTGTGTCCAATATACCTAACAAGGTTAGTGGCTGGACGTTCTTATTTTCATCGCTTGAATTGAAACATATTGAGGTGCTGACTGTGGCCGCTTTTGATGCACCATCTTAGCACAACGTTTCTTGCGAAAGGCTCTGTTTGAGCCGCTTTCCTAGGGTCAGCAGCAACTAGTATCTTCAGATGCATGGCTCAAGAAATTTACAGATTTGACCTCAAATGCTACATTACAGGTTGGACCTTAAAATGTTTAATTATAAAATTGGTCACCATCCAGTAACTTCTGATCCCAAGCATTCAGTTCTAGGTGTTACAAAACCAGAAGCTGTCAGCTTCGGCTTTCTGTTTAGGTGTTAATATAGCCTGAAGCGGCGTACCACACACAATTAGTCACGAATACGGTTTGTGACAATTTTTTTCTGGACATGTCACGGCCGGAATGTACCCTCAGACGAACCGTTTTTACCCGTTCCCCATATGGCCAAACCTAGGTCTATGTTTGGTTAAGCCGGCTTAGGCCGGGCCAAACCCGGTTCAGCCTGTCAAAGGCTACGCCTGCTAGCAACCTACAGAGGCCTGTCAATTACTCATGGCACATACACATCATTGTGCTCTATAGATATTATTTCACAGGTATGGGACTGAACATCCTTGACTAATCATCCTCTCCATGCAAGCACAGATTGACATCACACTTCCTCGCTCGACCCCCTCCCGCTTGTCCCTGTTGATGCAGGGGCCTTTCATCAAACTCACTGTCGGGCTCTATGCCAGAATCATTTGCGGGCCTCAGCAACTTGGCATGGTTGTACGTAGTCACATGCTCATCAAGGATTGGTCCTTGCGAGCTGCAAATTCATTGCTTGAATGAGGTGCTCAGAAATTGAATATGGGACAGGAGGCAGACAGATTATAATGCGTATGATGACGACACCAAACTGCAGAAGAAACGTCGCAACTTTCACTTTGTTGTTCCATTAATGTCGTATTAATCCTCCTATGTGTGAACTCTAATAACCCTACGTGCATGGCCTGTGCTGCCTTCTCTTCAGAAATCTCAGCAACAACAGACTAACAGGCAGCATCCCAAAGTCCATTGGCAGCCTCGCAAGTCTTGATACATTGTAAACATACTACCCCTAAAAGGTTCCAACTGATCATTTTTGAATTCCAGGCCAAACCCTTTGTTAATAACGTCACTGCAGGGTGACCCATAGTTCCCAGAAATAATTAGATGTTTCTTGTTTGCGAATGTGAGTTTGTATGCTGCGTATGGATGTGGGTATGTATGCTATGTGGATGTGGGTATGTATGCTATGAGGGTGGGGGTATGCATGCTATGTGGATGTGAGTATGTATGCTATGTGTCAATATAGGTGTGTATGCTATGTGGATGGGGGTATGCATGCTATGTGGATGTGGGTATGTATTCTAACTTGAAATTATGGTTGAGTTTCTTAAAAGCTCGGAGGAGTTTAAAAAACTAGACCGAGTTGAAGTAAAACACGACTCAAATTTCACGGTACTATAACCCCAACCCCCTTCACCCCCCCGTTTCCCCCCTCTCTCCCTTCTCCACCCAATTAACAAAGACACATAAGCTCGATTTCGCTGTCTCTCAAGGTACTGTAAACCCTCGACAAAACTGTCGCAGTGGGTTGGGTGGTATGTGGTCACTGTCTTATTGATGCCCAGTGGTGAAATGTGGCGTGTTTGTTTATGTGCCTGGTGGTTGGGCTTTTTAGATATTCCGCCAAGATTTTGCGCTTTAGAAAAGTCATGCACAAGTCAAATACTTTCTCGATGAGGCTATGTCCATCCACCCTCTCCTGTTCTATCTCGCCCTGTTAAGCCCCAAACCCTTTGCGATTGCGAATTAACCACGTCTCGTCCACCATCTCCCATCCTCCACATCCCATCCCACTCATCCACCTCTTCCAGACCGACCTCACTGCCACACCAATCTCTACAACCAGCAACCAACTCCATTTCAGCAGCTTCCTTGGCCGCACCCATTAGAAAGTCCCAGGTCGCGCGAGTTTTTTCTTACTCGACAAGTTGAGAGAGGCATTTGAGTAAAAAAAAAACTCATCTATTTTGCCGAGTTTTTTCACGAGTGTTACAGGACTCGTGAGTAAAACTCGACTCGCTTCATCAAGGTTTACGGGGACTTATAAAGACTCGAATCGAGTAACGACTCGACGCGTTAGCCCATGTATTTGACCTGACATGTACAGGAGCGTCATGAGCCGGTCAGCTCGTGTCTTCAACCAAGCACACTAGTTAGACCTGAATGAATAACAAAGTCAAAAGAATGACCGTACATATGGTCCACAAAACACTACCAAGACGTCTTGTTTCCCCACCATCTGGCAGCATGGAGCAATTCTCTTACAAGCAGATAAACGGCTTCAGCAAGGGTCCAAACCGAGCTGACTGGCTTCTTCAAGCCTGGGCCTGGCCTCATCTCAAGCTGGAGACCCTTGTAAACCAATCGAGCTGGGAGGGTTGCAGCAGTCGAGCCACTGCGGTTCAAGACTCGCTCGCTCGCGGGCCTTAGATGGCTTGGCTGCACACCACAAAATTCACGCACAGGCGTCCTTCACACACCATATGCTTCCTTCACAGTTTTGGGGCACCTTAGTAGGCAACTGAAAAAAGTCCTCAGACTTGACAGGAGGCACATTGCAGTTTAAAACTCTAGTCAGTAGCCACAATGCCAGCACACCACCATGAGAAATGCTTGTTGTGGAGTTTCTACATACTGTCATGTCAAACATGGCAACGCGGCAACTTGTGAGCTTACACAACCATGGCCTTCTGCAGCAAGCAACTCTCCAGTGCATGTTCTGTGATGTTCCATCGACTTTAAATGTCGATCAGCTCACCCATCCATCCATGCTGCAGTGCAGGCATTGAGCTGCCTTTCTGTTTCGGTGGATCTCACATCAGTTCACAGCAGTAGAGGTTGAGTGAATTTGGACGGCCATATCTTCATTCTACACATGCAATGCAGGGATGTAAGTGGCAACGAAGTTACATGTCCTCCCGACAACACCGCGTGTGTGATCGAACAAGATACTCAAAGCGCTTTCTGTCGCCTTTGCAGCTCCTTCTGCAACACTTGTATTGATGCAGCAGCAGGTAAGACACACCAAGATAGCCTTTCTCCCATGATTTCTCTTCCCAACATGCGTTGTGTGTGTTCCCTAACCCATTTCACAAGACAGTAAGTTTCTCTAGTACCCCCTGTTTTTCGCGTACGAAGAACCAATGTTGGCTCTCGGGTACGCTCGGGCTGCGTCAGACATGGCAGGACGAGGAGCAGGTGCCAGGCCCCCACTGATTCTGGTTCTCTGGCCAATCTCAGGAAAGGTGTCAGGGAGCAGGTCGCAAAGGTTTGAGGGCTACGAGTTCTTTCCTGCCCGTTAACTCGTCTCCCTCTCCGATCCAGCATTCTAGTTTCAGAATGAACCTGAAGTCGCACAGCGCATTGCATCTATATTTCCCTGGCTTGTATCGCGCATTTTGCCAACATAGATCAGGACCAGCATGTCAATGAGAAGAATCAACTACTGCCTACCTCTCTTCACTTATTACTCAAATCAATCAACACTACTTCTCAACGCTCCCTTTCTTTTCTTACTTCTCCATCCCTTTCAATCCCATTTCCATCCCTTCCTTTCCAATATCCATCCCTTCGCTTGCCTCCTCCAGCGTCCCCCTCTCCACCTCCAACACGCACCACAGCGGAACCATCCCTCCTCACGGCTTCCCCAGCACCCCCCCTCTCCACTGCAACGTCCTCATCCCAGCCTGGCAGTCTGTCTGCAGCAGCCGCTGCCGGCATAGCCGTGGCAGCTGTGGCTTCTTTGCTGCTGCTCCTGCTGGTTGGCGTTCTGCTATGGAGGAGGAGCTACAAGAAAGAGGCAGCGGATGGAGCAGCAGCAACAGCAGTGAAAGAGAGCAACGATGTGCTACTAAGGAGCTTCGAAGGTAGCAACCTCTTCCCCTTCCTCCATCTTCCACCGTTTTCCCCTCTTTTTCAATCGGCCTGTAGGGCGAACCAGATTGGGTAAGTGCAAGCACAGAGGATGGAGGGACAATTTGAAGGAGCTGCATTGAATTATCGTCCACCCTCACAATCTGTAATGCATGTACAGAACCCATCGTAAGCATTGTTGGGAAGATGGAGACTTGGTCGCGCGGAGCATGGGCCTGGCAGGTTGGTGCGGTGGGGAATTTGAGCCAGGTGATGGAAGCTGGTGATTGGGGTCGGGGCGGGGATATCTGCCCGTCCGATGTAACTACTGATTTGGACTCACAACTGATCCTTCTCAGATCTACTGAGAGACGGGAACAACTTATCGAAACCATTTCTCCCTTGAGCCTACGGCGCCTGACTTGACGGCCACGAAACCATTATAAACGTCCCATTAAGAAGGGGAAAAGGCCTGTTAAGTGGAGCCCCACTGCACTGCAGCATCTACCGTTTTTCAGTAATACTGCCCTTTGGCTGCTGCATTTCACTATTCAACTTGAGCAGAGGGGTGAAAACAAGTAAGAGCTGCGGCAGCAACTTGGGATTTTGGCCGGGTCGGGTGAGCAGTGAGTAGGCCCCGACCCGACCGTGCCAGGTGGAAATTCCATTGGCTTGGGTCAACTTGAGACCCGACAAGCGCCCAAACCTCCACGCCAAAATCCACGTTGAGTATATTTCTAAAAAAACACCCAACGTTCAAAACATAGAAGCAGCACCCAACAGCCATCCTCTGCAGTCAGGTCAACTAGAATGACTTCTAGTTGGGCCCACCCGCCCGACCCAGGCTCGGGTCGCATTTCCAGAAAGGCTGGGTTGGATCGAATGCAGCAGGGTCTCGATCCGACTAGTATGGATGAGCACCGGGCGGGGTTAGGGCCTGGTCGAACCGAGCCGGGTCGCCTGAAAACCGGGCCAAACCTGGTTCCAGATGAGCCATGTCACGGTCAAACCTGTAATTTTTTTCTTACTCATTTCATGCACGAGCAGGTCTGGCTGGCAGCGTGGCGGCCTCGCACTGCACGGAGTACTCCCTGGAGGAAGTGCTCACAGCCACCAGCAACTGGGCGAGTGACAACCAGCTGAGGTCGGGCGCCTTTGGTGACGTGTACAAGGGCGTGTCTCCGCGCGATGGCACCACCCTGTGGGCCGTCAAGCGAGCCAAGCTGCTTGAGACTGACTTTCTAAGAGAGGTGAGTATCCTCTTTCTTGGTATACTCCAAGTTGCTCAGATGTACTTACGTATTGAGTTTATGCGCTACAAAATACGTACGCTGCATTTTTTCCGCGAGTTCGCAAAAAATCTCTTGGGCAGACCGGAAACAATGTTTCAGAAGTTTCGTTTGAGCTCTCGACATGGCGAACTAAAATTTGGCCGTCGAACATCGCGTTCTGAACCACGAAATCCCCAATAATTGTTGTCTGTATGCTGTTGCGCAACACAGTCCACCCGATTCAATCCCAATTCCTTTCAACCTGACTCAAACTTCATAGCAGAAGCGCAGCTCATTTCTCCATGCGATGTTAATCCGTCAGTTTTTTTCCCTTGTTCCTGCCGACCTCGTTCTTCATTGACGAGTATAACTAGACCAACTTGTGCTTTGCCCTGCGTCCATTTGCCCGGGCCTGAGTATTCTGTGCGTACAGGACCCTTCCGCGCAGCGTACGACATTTATACTCTAGCCGATATACGCTTTTGTATTGAGCGAAATACGCTTATATTCCAATTTAGGGCCTGTTTGTTTGTGGTTACTTGTGGCATCAAAGCAGCTCCTTGGTTCTCTGAAATCATGTGTGCCTTGCATGCTATCCATCCATCCCCTACATAAGGCTCTCACACACGGTCAAGCATGTCAACAGTCCCAGGTAGGCATGAGCAGGAGGCCCGCGCGGGTCGGGCCGGCCCGACCCGACCCGTGATTTTGCCCAGGTCGGGTCAGGGGTGTCAATAGCGCCCGGCCTGACCCCGGGCTGACCTGGCCCGGCCTAAAACCCGACCCGAGCAGGGAACTCGGGCTGGGTCGGGCTGGGCTTATGGCCCATGTTGACTTGACCTGTATTCGGGTCGGTTTCGACCCTAGAAAAAGTCCTATCATCAGTCCCGCGGAACCTACCTAACTTCACTTCACTACAATTTCGTGTAGGTCCAGAGCGGTGACGAGTGGTAAGTGGCAGCAAATTGGTTGACATTTTGCTTTCCACCAGATTTGACGGGAATGAAGTGTTGGCCCCGCCCTCGCTTGGGTGACGCCGACGTCCTGGTCGGATGTACGGGAGAAGCAGCCAACCGTACGCAGTGAGAGAGCTGCTCGACGGGATTCGTCGAGCTGCAGGAGATCACAGCGGTGTTGCCCAAACTGCCATTGTTTTCAACCCATTCCACGACAATACTGTTTCTCCACAGGTGCGACAAATGGCCGACAAAAACCATCCCAACATCGTGCGGCTTCTTGGGTTTGCTGTTGGAGGAGACATGAGGGCACGACTCGAGCAAGTTTTGATCTATGAGTTTGTTTCGAATGGTGACCTCGAGAAGTGGATCAGTGAAGGTACTTGCATCTCTGCAGGCCATCTTCCTCTTTTCTTTTTTTCTACAGCCCCAAGCCCAATGGAAGCTCACATTCTGACGTTCATGTACTTTGCAGAAAAACCCTTCCAACTCACCTTGAAGCAGCAACTGGACATCCTTATTGGTGCTGCTCATGGCCTGGAGTACCTCCACAGCTTTGGCCTTGTGCATCGCGACATCAAACCCGCCAAAATCCTTCTCACAACGGACATGCAGGCAAGCTTCTCACTGCACACTCAGTTGTGTCGCAAACTCGCTCTTCATATCTCACTCTAAATCCACTGAATGCAACTGGGAGGATGATCCTTCTTTGACTTGATCAGCCCTGCATCCGTACTGTGAATGTATACATATATATCAAGCGAGACGTGATGTGGACAAAAAGAACGAAGGATCATATTTCTTATCGTGGACCCCCGAAACAGTGTGCTGATGATAATTCTGTAGAACACTCATGATGAAACTCGAAAAGCTGCAGTATGAGTCACATATACTTCAGAGTTTTTGAGATTTGCGACCATACGTTGAGCATTAGGCGTTTATGTATACTACGTCATACATTCTTTGCCCGCTTACTTGTGCTTGGGCTTGCCTTGCCCTATCATTATGGCTGCATACACCATCCATCAGGCAAAGATTGCGGATTTTGGGCTTGTGAAGGCGGTGGAGGGCTCCACTGTGGGCACGACTCGAGTGATGGGCACACCGGGCTACGTTGATCCCATCTACTTCTGCACGTCAAAGGCAACCAGCACCACCGACGTCTATAGGTGAGCCAAAGGCAACCAGCACCACCGACGTCAAAGGCTATTTCCGCCCCATCATTGTTGTCTCAACTGCTGTTGATTGATCTCAGATTCTGAGCAGGTGATTTGCATTTACTGTACGCATTGATTGAGGATACTCTTGGACATAAGAATGCACGAACACCGCTCGTGGTGTTGTTCATCAATCTTGTGATCTTTCTGCTTCTGTTTTTCAGCTTCGGTGTGCTCCTGCTTGTGGTCCTCACGAAACGAATCCGCCCGCTCTATATGGATGATGGAAGTTGTAACCACATCCTGTCATGGGAGAGTGCAATCGCATCCTGTGATAGGTGGGTGCCACCACCTGTCATGGGTGGGTGATGTCTTCTTGTGGCAACCACTGCTGCATGTGGCACCACCAACACACATTGCTGCAGGCACTGTTGCACATACCATATGTGGTTTGTCTTGCACTATGTCATATTCGTCATTGCATTCTTGAGTTTTAGCATATTCACCATGCCAGTCTTCCTCTCTCTATTCTGCTGCCTTCCTGTCCAGAACTCTCTTTACCCCCACAGCCTGGCCCGCCTCGAGACTTCAGCATTGACCGTGTGACTTGTGTTGCCATCCTTACCCGCCTCCATCTCAGGTGGAAGACTGCATTTCCTCTAACAACCCGGCCCGCCTCAAGGACCTGAGCATGGACGCCCCGGATGATGCTGTGCTGCGCCTGGCCCAGCTGGCTCTCCGCTGCACTATGGAGCGCACTGCAAGCCGGCCCAGCATGGCAGGCATTGCCAACGAGTTGATTGCTATCAGGAATGCCGTGGTGGGGACAGATGAGCTGAGTGCAGCAATCAAGGTGGACAAGCAGGTCGAAGAGATGTAGGGTGCATATTTCACTGTGACAGACTCAAATACTCCTCTTCGAGTTCCTGATAAGGCTCTCGCATGGAAGCCTCTTTGGCAAGCGGCCAGTTTTTTTACTATATTTTCTGACAATAGTACCGTAATACCCCGGATACAAGACCCGGGGGTATTATAGGAATCCCTCCCCAAAAAAAGGCGGGGGGGGGGGGGGGGGGGGGGTTCTTAACACTTGGCTCAATTTTATTAGACCCGGGTCGTCATGTATATTGCTTGAGTTTTGTAAGCCATACATGTCAACACTATGTACTCCAAGGGAATACGTGGAATGAAGTTCGTTCTTAACATTCAAATAAATACGTGGAACAAGTACAAACAGGAAAATGGAACAAAAGTGCCCCTAAGAGATTCGATCTCCTAGCCTTTCGAAAGGCAGCAGGATTCATCAACCACAATGCTACACCAGTTAATCTTATGCGTACTCAAACTTAATAATAACCTTAAAAAAACATAATAATAATAAAAAAACGAAATAGACAACACAGAGAAAAAAATGGAAACAGTCGACACGGAGTATCGAACCCACGTAGTTTCGATCGTTGAGCACCTGTCTTACTAAAGTCTTACTAAAAAGTTTTGAGATATACTGTCTTATCCTTCTCGCCACCTGCCGCACAAACACCTCAACGCCATCAGGACGCGTTCCCTCTGGCTAGATCGTGCAGAAATATATCTTCGACCGCAAGAAACGCCCGCGAATGACACTTAAAACTTCTAGACATTTTTTTAACAACGCTTAAAACCGATCCTGCGTAGGATCGACTGCAGGATCGCCGTTTAGGGGACGCGCCCTCAACCAGCCATGCACAACCCAACCTTCTTGGCATTACACCCCCTTCTTGTCCACTCACTTCAGCCGAGTCGGCTGTTTTTTTGCGAGTGGGAGGCGCCGCCGGCAACGCGCCTGCACTAATAATAACTTCGCCGGCGGCATTTTCCGCTCGCATTCTCGTTACCCTGCCTTCGATTGGGAACCCTATTTCGTTGTCAGTTGGTGATGCAGTCTACTTCTTACTAGCTCGTCTACTTACAGTCCCTCGGAGGAGCCTTTCGCCTTTTGGAGCCTTACAATATTGAAAGCGACTCATCCTGGTGATTCTCATCTCGGAGCCGTTCCCACTGCCGCCAAAATCTTTAAGCGACGCCCAGGCGCGATTCCGCATTCCCTGGTGGTTCTCGTCCGTTGGACACAATCGCGCCGCGATGGAGCGCGCAGCCCTCGGCGCGCTGTTCCTGCTGACGTGTCTCGGTGCCATATCGCTAGTTGAATGCGTTCCTTTTGATAAGTCCCAGGGTAAACGTTTCCTCTCAGCGCTAGTAGATGGGAGAAGAGAGAGAGGAGAGGGAGAGGAGGCAAATTGAAATGGGCGTCACTCTCACCGAGCGGTCGTAAAATAGAGGCAGGCTGTAGCGTTTAGGGGGTCGTGAACTACTGGGCGTTTGCGATTGTGAATAGGAAGCGAGAGGTACCACTGTAAGAATGGGGACACTGAAAAGGGAAATTTTATAAACGATAACGGCGGGATACCTGAAACGGCTTTTGTAAGAATCACCCGGATTGTAAACACAACCGTGTTTTCACTGCCTCGTCCTTCCTCCTTCCTTCGCCCTTTTGCCACCAGATGGAACGCCTTAGGGATGAAATTGGTTGAGGCATACGTCCTCAACTCCTTCCTTTCCTCCCTACTCATGCCCCTTCCCTTCTCCTGCTGCCAGCGCAAGTCCTGCTGGACTGTCAGAAAGCGTGGAACACAGCGATCGATGGCTGGGTGGTTGATGGGGACTGCAGCATGGCAACGAATGTCGTCTGCAATGCCAAGGGCATGATAACAGCCATGTGAGTGGACCCTATTACAGAGAGTGTTGGGACACCTGCAGCTATCCGTGTGTTCTATTATGTGCGGAGAAAGAGAACTTTCTGTAGCGTGTTGCCTGATGTACCCTCATGCTATAGCCCGTCTTCCTTCTGATTTTGCAAAGCCCCCTGTGAAGATAAGATTCAGGTTGCCTCCGAGCTGACAAAGGCGCAGAAACCGTCCCAATGTCTCAAAGACAGTAAACTCCTCCAAGCCACACCTCAAGCCCCGTCCCAACGACTCAAGTCAGCCAAAACCGGGAATATCCAAAAAGCGAGAATATCTTAGGTCCAATTGCGCCTGGCTTCGCCAACCCCGTTGTCCCTCCTTCTCCAATCCAGAAGGCTTTTCCTTCTCCGCTCCTGGCCTCATGATGGTCCAGTGTTGAACAAGTACTTAATCACCTTCACTGCTAAGCTTGCTTGTGTTCAAAGCCAAAGCTAGCGTCAAAGCCATCATAGCTGAGCGTCCTCGCAGATGTCTGCGAGTGACCCTTACTTGATCTGAGCCTCATACCGGTCGCCATGAGGGGCTTCTTTGGTGATGTCCCTCGGGCGAGGGGTATGTCTGGGGTGGGGGGAAATACGCGACTGAAACCATATGTTATAGATTTCCTCCTATATTAGGGCGTTATAAGGGAGATATCAGGAGGTAACCTTTACTTCACACACATCACGGAATCTAAGGTGTGCCACCGCCCATACCACGTAACGAGGGATGTTCGTGCTCGAAGCGAACATTCAGATGTTCGCCCCCAAAGGCGAACACCATTTCTCTAGAAAGTGTTCAGGGTGAACCGAACATGTTCGATTAGCCCAGGATGTTCAGGCATGGTCAAACACACACGTGTTCGTGTTAGCCTTTTGGCATGGTCAAACACAAAGTTGGTTTCCCAACAGTTGGTTTCCCAACTCCAGAGCGTCAAAACCAATGTCAAATTCTCGGAGGGTTGCGTCGAGCGTAAAAGACGTAGTGTCAAAATTCTAGCGTGAAAAACACTTGCTTTGTTAATTCCAATTGACCTTGCATGTAAATGCATGCAGGCTACTACTCTTTCCTTCCCATCCCTTTTTAGGGGTCTCTCCAGTACTGGCTTCACCGGATCCATTCCATCAACTATTGGACGTTTGAGCAGCCTGACATTTTTGTGAGTAGGATTGGGACAAGACAAGCACCTCAAGTGGTACCCTTTCATTACTTGATTTGTTTACGAACAGCGTGGCGAGTTGGGTGGTACGTGGTACTTGTTGGTACTAATGACTAATATTTTGGGATCTAGAGGCTGTAGACACACTTAGTAGTCCCCACAGGGTCACCTCAAAGGATCCTTTGGTGCCTGGCAGACCAGCCCCTATCCAAGGGTCCGTGTTTGAAGAGGAAATCCCCTGAGTGTGAAAAATAGTCGTGCGTTGTAGAACATTTCCAAACTTTGTTGCTCAGAGTTGACGACGACATGGGCTCGTGTGCAGAATGGCTTTTTACGTCAATACGTTGATAGAGCAACTTAACTCGTCAAAGAAAACTAGAAAACAATTTCTATTAAAAAGATTGATGACAATCAAGACGACCTTAAGATTGATGAGCAACTTAACACGGACCTTTGGTTAGGGGCTAGTTCTACTAGGCAATCAAGGACCTTTGGAGTTGACCTCGTGTAGATAACTGAGTGGTGATTAAAGGTGTGCTTAGAGATTTTTAATCCCAATAGTAGTCAACATGAACCTCCCATGAAACATTGGAGGCTCTGGAGACTTTCATGGGAGTCTCATTTGAGCCTCATGAGAGCTCCAGCAAAGCTATGAAAACAAAACCGAAAACTAACAAGCACAATATGAGATAGCAAACGAAAAACAGAACACACATAAACAGCAAAGACGAATGCGTACGGAACACACAAAATGTGCACACATGAAATACAAAATGAAATGCACATCTCACACACGTAATGATCTTCAAACGAAACGCTTCACTGTCCTTCACCATCGGCGAATAGGCGGTAGTTTGATGTGCAAAATAAATATTTGCACCCAACAGGTACGCCTAAGGATGGGTCAGGCTGTAAGGCCGGCGTAGACCCGGGCCAGGCCAGTTGAGTGTGGTCTGGATGGGCCAGGTCTTTGGGAAGTCGCCGTCATGCTGGCCGGTCTACGGTAATGGCCAAAGGTCTTGGGTTTGAATCGCAGTGTGCACCCGTCATCGCCAGTGTCTGAACAAGCTTCAATCTGACTTCGCGAGGCTTGAATGATTGTTCGTACAACTGTTCCTATCAAACACTAAACTGCTTTGCTCGGGGAAACTGGACTTGTGGCAAGGGCGATGATGGGTTCATTTCAGCCCTGCGCTAACACACATACGCATGTACAGGAAGAAATGCTAAGCTTGATGAATCTGTGTGTATCATAAGCAATATCGGGCAAACTGTGTTTTTCTTGTCCTCATAAACTCATCAAACCTACACGTGTATTCTGTTCCCCTGAAGGTCTCTTTACGGCAACAACCTCGATGGAACAATTCCCAATTCCATCTCTAGGTTGTCAAACCTTACAACATTGTGAGTACTAGTCGTTAATAGGTTGCCATGTAGAGTAACCACAACTCACATGCCCAATGTTGCAGTGATTGTTTCCATTGAGTGGGAGTTGAACTAAATGATTTCTCAGTCTTGTCGTGTCTGTATGCACTTGCCTGCCACCTAGCCCCTCTTGGATGTGCATGCTGGGTGAGTATATATATATATATACATGTATATATATGTATATATATGTACATATATACTTGTTAAGACAATTACTATGATGTGCTTACTGTGGCTCTTCATTTATATGTTTCCTATTCTCCACATTGCAGATCTGTTGCTGAGAACGCTCTGTCGGGATCAATACCAGATTGGATTGGAAGCCTTACAGGTCTACATG